TCCGACGGCACTTTTAAGATGACCTGCTGCGCATCAACAAGTGTAAAACGAAGATCACCAAAGGATCTTGAAAAACTGCTCACAGGTTGTACTTTAAGCCCATATATAGTAATTTATATGCACAATTGTCGCTATTTCCGTGTTGTTAAAAAAAAAAAAGTATAGCCTACTATGCATTCTTTCACAGACGTATTCAAGTTTAAACCCAATAAACGTATTATTCAATGCATTACTTCTTATAAATTTAATTAAATGCATATATGTAATATTTTCATGTCAATCCGTGTTCAGTTTGACCACGAACCATGCGCTGTCACTTTAATTCAGCGCCTGCAGCACAAACGATCTCTGCACGCACCGCACAGGACGGGCATTCCCCTTGCAGTGAAAGCTCCAACCTGTTGACATGGGTATGGTAAAAATATGCACTGCAAACGGAGTAGGCCTATGTGTAAACCCCTTATTTACAGTGCACACATCTACGGCGCATTATGGCTCCGACAATGTTTTATTCCTACATTCACGCGGTGTCAACTCACACCGGGAGCATTTCCACGTGATTTGCCGATTTGTGGGCGCGATCAGCTCCGGTAGCCGTGTCGCAGCTGTAAACGCGCCGCAAACGTGTGCAGTGTAAATAAGGGGTGAAACAGGTGTTCATTAACCCATACAATTTGTATTATGCATTTCCTGGACATGTTCTTGCTAACTAATCAAATACTTGAGCAGACTACTGATCTATCTGTAAAACACTATCAGAAAGAGCTAAATTTTAAGTTCACAATTCACATATACTTCATTTTTAGTAAGCAGGAATAATTTCCGACTTTAAACAAATACCCATTTAAATGCTTAGGATGTTTGCATTGTAAGACTGTTCAGGGAGACTTTAGATTTAAAGACGGTGTCTCGTTATGCAATGTTTTCTCAGTCAAATCATACAATTTCCTATTGATTCAATAGAACGCGTGAGCTCACTAGGGAATCACAATATGGCGGCGCGGTGGCTTCACTGTTTATGACGTCATGAGCTATCCAGTCATTCTATATAGATCAGTGGTCCAGGAGCTCAAGGGCTCCAGTGCGTCATCGAGCCCTGTTTTAGCCCCGCCCAGAAAATCCGGAAAATAGCAATGGTGAAAAACTGTTTAACGGTCTAACTCCACAATTCAGTACTTCACAGTTCACAGTCTTTGTAATATGTTTTAGCAATACATTTCTAACATTTATAATGTGTTTAGAATTTTTTTTTGAAATTGCCTTTACAGGGATGTTTCAGAAATGTCAAAGTCACTGATTACAGATCTCTCTAAACTGTAATTTCCCCACCTGTGACTTTGACATTTCTGAAATGCTTAACATATACAAAAAAAGGATAAATTAATTTATCTTTAAATAAATTTTAAATTTTATAAAAAAAAATTATAATAAAAAAAATTATATATTTTTTAAAATAAATTTTTTAAATTATAAAAGGATCATTTTTTCTCTCTTGTAGTCACTGAACACCTTACCTTGAGGTAGGATGATATAAGTGTTGATTTCTAATGAAAGCTTCCATGGATCGGATGCTATCACACATTTTCCAACACTAGAGATGTGTACCTTCATGAAAATCAAAAAGAAATTGAATCCCTCAAAATGGTACCGGTAGCCCAAATTTGGGGTCCCGTCTCATGGCCTAATTGTAGTTTATCCACGTCTTATCAGATGAAAAATGAATTCATCTCAATTTGAGTGCATGTTTTTATTCTTTTTATGCGCATCTCTGAATCTTTCTTTTTTTTTTTATGCAGTAAAGTGCTCATGAAAGCGGGTGCCTGTACACGTGTCTGATGTTCTGGCATGATTTGACTCTTGTGTGTGTGTGTGTGTGTGTGTGTTCTCCAGATCTCGAGCGCAGAGTTCGTCTGCTGTAAGGAGACGGTGGACGAGTATCTCACGGCTCTCCAGCTCTCCTCTCCCAGGAACACCGTCTACATCCTCGACTCCTTCACACGGCAGGAGCGCCGCAAGAGGGAGCGCGCCGACCACGACATCGACGACTTCTACGACGGCTTCTGGTGCCTTTACCACGAGCAACCGTCCATGAAAACAGGAAGACATGATGGACGGCAGGATATGACGTCGCCCTGTCCTCCGCTACTCGATGGAAGCTGATAAACGACGGCCAAGGCACTTTTCTATTCCTTTTATGAAACCTTTATGCAGCACTTTGATCGTATTTGACATTTCTTTTTTGTATTTTGTGTTTTATATTTATGCGTCTTCATACAAGCTATTCAGAAGTAGAATTATGGTGCTTAAACGTAAATCTTTTTGTTGGACAATCCCATAAAGCAACATAGTGTCGGCCCACATCTGAATCTGATCTGAGCCGACACGGTTTCTGTCTGGGATTAGATCATTCCGTAATCAAGTTATGCTTTATGGTATTTGTTGATATTTGAAAGAATCCTTTTGTAGGATTAATGTGAAGAGGAAATAACATTCTATTCAGATATTATTTTTCTCGTTTTTATCCAAAAACACCTCCTTCCCGACCCTTTTTAAAGGCAGCTACAGATATTAAATTTCTGTTCCTCCTAAATGAAACATGGAAATTTTCTTTTCTGAATGGGACTAATTTATTTAGTAAAAACGGCAGCTTTTATGTTGCTTGGAAAACAGTGTCCTTCTATGCAATAAAACAGACTGTTGACACTACACGTGTTCTTACTGTGTGTACACACAATGTTAAAGTCAATCATATTATTCCTTAACTCATCTTTGATCACCAAAATAACATATTTAAATGTTTTTTTTCCATGAAAAAAAAATTCTTCATGTCTTAATCGCTTAAATGTAACTCGACACTCTTGCCTCATTTAGTATGCGTGGTTCTATGAATATGCAAATGAGCCCCGCCTCTACTCACTCACTCAGCTCAGAGATCCACTGGCTGACGATCACACGTTGATCTGATTGGTTACAAGGTCGTTTGTGACGTCAGAAACATAATTGTTTGTTTTTTTAAATCAATAAAGTCAGTTTTCTTAGTGTCCTCAGCAAATGTGTCATTAAAGCATTATACAGGAAAATAGTTTAAAGGTATGGTTCACCAAAAATATGGAAATTATATACCATTATATACTCTCCCTCAAGTTGTTCCAAAACCGGAAGACTTTTTCTTCTGTGAATCAAAATATGTTTTGGGGATTTGTTTGAATAAAATTAAACTGTCATTAAATTTCCCTCATGTCATTTCAAACCTGCATTAATTTAGAGTAAAATATCCCTTTTAGTAGTAATTTGTAATAGAGCAAATGTGACAATTAAAAAATATATCAATACTCACTGCAGTTCAAATGTTTGGAGCCAATAAGATCTATTTATGTTTAAAGAAATTAGTACTTTTATTCAGCAAAGATGCATTACATTGATCAAAAATTACACTAAGTACAATTTTAGAAAATATTTCTATATCAAATAAATGCTGTTTTGAAATAGGCATATATGCTGTTGAATGTTCGCGTTATTATACATGTACATAAGCAATGCTTCTACCTCACATAAAGCCACAATATAAACTTTGATATAAACATTAAATCCTATTTTTATATGGCGTGTCATTTTATATTATTAACATTCTCTTCTCTTCAAATATATAAAACATGATCCTTTACTTATATAGTTTCTTGAGTAAAGAAAACGCTGAACTTATTCATTTACCTTCACATAGCAAACAAGCAAAGACGCTCCAAACTGCGCGCGACAGAGGCGGGGCGGAGTCATGAGGCTTGACTGACAGTTTGAGGAGCCAATGGAGTTACGAGGTTTAGTCACAAGCTCTTTTTATTACGTTTCATTGGTTAAATACTTAAAAAAAAAAAAAAATCTGTCTGTGGTTTTTCTCTTGACAGACGTAAAGGGTGACCAATAGATGTATGACGTCACTATGTAGGCCAACCGGCAGTTCTCATGACACTGGTTCCCTCGACAGGAATTTCCCATAGGTTTTTGGATTATTACTAAAGAATAAGCTCTGTGATCAACAAAAGTTTATGATATTAGCACGTTTTGTCCATCAAGACAAGTATCACAGACGAACACAATTTCTATGAATTTTGAAACCTAAATGCAGTCGTCAGAAGTAAAAAGCTAAAGGATTAACGAACTACACCACAGTCCCACGAATCAACGTCACTAAGTTTCCGACAACTCTTTCAGTTTATCTAAAACATTTCCCTAGAACTATTCGTGTCAGAATAGTTTGTAAGAGTCCGCTTTTACAGCATCGTTATGGTTATAATTGTGCTGAGTTTACCTGTGCGGCTTAATGACGTTTATCTCCTCGACAGCCTCTGTCGTCACATTTAGCCACTTGCTAGCAACGCCTTTTTTAAAGACACGTAGCAGCTTAAAAAAAAATCTCGAGTGATGTACTGATGTATTTTTTATGTCGTAGAATAATACGTGAAAGTGTCCTGAGCTCGTGTTCACCTCAGACCTTATTTCGGCCATTTTAACCAAAACCCCATTAAAAAAATCCATCGACTTCGGGACGATGGAACCGGAAGTGCTAAAACCTAACTCGATGTCTTTAAAAGTATAATTTGCTGGAGATGCAAGTTTTTTATAATGTTATTTTAGTAACAAAGTAAATGTCTTTAAAAGTGTTTTACAATTAGAGTGAAAAATATATTTCTCATTGTAATCGCCCCCCTTCCTTCACATATTATATAGTAGAATGTTTTGAATTGCACATGGAAACTGTTTTGTTAATGAATGTGGAAGAGACACCAGAGGCAGAGATGGATACACACAATTTATGCTTCACAGAGAACTTCAACTTTACATCCAAAGCTCCAATGAAGTTAGTTACTACAGAATACTGACACAATTACAGCTTTCGGCTTCAACTGGACCCGTGGATGACAACAGCCAGCTCATTTTCCTATTAAAAATTAAGTTATATACACACATTTTATATACCCGACACCACAAACACATTCCAACAGTTCAAGGAAATCAGGGGAGTGTTTATTTTCAATGTCAGCTGATACAACATTTCCCCTTATGCAAATGAAGTTGTCTTTACCTCTACAGTATGGCTTGGATGATAAACAATATAATCTGAATGCCATATCGCATTATGCTCTGTCTACAATACAAAAAATATAATTTGCATATCTGTTGTCATGTACTTTTAAAAACTGCACCAAAATAACTGTTAAGACTGCTTTATTTAGCCATACCCATGCAGGCTTATATAATAATAAAATCATACACATGTGTGCATTAGTTTCATCACTGCTGTGCTAATGAGTTTGGCTCAGATCTGAAATACTACTGTACAACTGTTGGCAAGGGAAACATGTACGTCACAACATTGGCCTGACTGTAAGACAAATCAACAGATGATTAGTACCAAAACTAACTGTGTAAAAAAGAAAAAAACAACAACCATAAAATGGGGTTGAAACAAAAAAAAAATGACATTCACCCCCCCAAACAAATGTGGCAAATGAGTCCCCATAATGCATCTCTCGGTCTTCCCGTCAGGATCTTTGGTCCTTTAACACAATGTCACGAGGAACATGTCAAAAAAACAAAAGCTGATGTTGCAACGTTAATGAAGGAAAGTCCATGGATGGCCTGCGATGAGCTCATAAATTAACTGAAAGAAGACAAACAAACACAAAACAAGAAAATGAATCACAAAATAAATGAAAACAAACTGATGTAGAATGGAAACATGTGTACTTAAAAAACACACACACATATACAAGCATGTTGTGATGCGGGAATAGTTGGACTGATGCTATTCACAAAGTGACTTGATTATTATTTTGAGTTGCAACTATTATTATTTCTGTGAAACGATTAAATGCATCCAAAATAAAAGTTTGTGTTTACATATTATATGTGTGTGTAGCCTACTGTATTATTTTGTATACATAAATACACACATATTTGCATGTATATATTTAAGAAAAATGTGTTATTTATATATAAAATATATAATATTAAAGCTGCAGTCCGTAGCTTTTCCTCTTTGTCGCCATCTCTCTGTTCGAAATCTGTAACTGCAGTGATTCGCGGAATTATCATCTTTACGTGGGTTGTAAATCGGCATGAAACAGCGCGGATGAACAGTGCTTTGAGGCGAGTGCTGCTGTCAGTCACTGTCATACAGAATCACAGATTCACTTTTTGAAAGTTTGACCAACATAAGAATTTTCATAAGAAAATGTCTTCTGAACAAGTAAGTAAAATCCATTTTTGTTCTGACCAACTAAGGGGGAAAAAGCATTCGACATGATAAGCTTCGTTAGATTTAATCAACGCGATTTACAGCAACCGTGCAAATCATAGCCTACTTTGTTCTCAAATTGTTCATGTTAACAACATCAGCATTGCGTGACTAATGTTAAATTTAATGTGTTTTATGGTTACCTGTGTAGTTCAGAATTCATATTCTCCATAATAGCAAAACGAGAAAGGCACAACAAAGGAAACTCCATAACTGTGTGAATTAAGAAAACGTACTGATACACGATTGAACTATTGAAATGTCTTACTTGTTCAGCAGAAAAAAGCCGTCTCTTCTTCCGTTTCGAACCCCTTCAAAACACGGAGTTCACGCACTTTTCAAAAGCCCCGCCGATGTTTAAATCCTTGTGTTTGTTCGCATGAGACGGTTTCTTTCTCTTTCTCTAGCCACCTTAAATCCGAAGTACGAAGTCTTTTGGGTTTTATAACTGCTGAATCTCCAGTTGACACTGATGATTGTTGTTTGGATCTTTCTGGATCCGCCATAAGTTTAATTATGTAAAGTGCTGCGAGAAAAGCCTATACATCTAAACATCTCGTCACGCGCAGTATAGCCGGCTAGCCGAAACTCCTTCTTTATGTGTATGTGACGTAATGACGCAAAGACATGCTCGAATTTCCCGCGGAAACCCACCAGTACCACTGGAATTAAAATCATTATTACAAGCTAACCGTTTTGAATCTAGCTATGGCAAGCAGATAGTTTTGACCACTGGCAGAATAAGTTTTTTTTGGATTATTTTTAACTTTAAAAAGTTACGGACTGCAGCTTTAAATATATACATGCAAATATTTCTCAAATATATACGTGTGTGTGTGTGTGTTTATATATACAGTACACACACACACATTATGTAAACACAAACATTTATTGTGGATGTGATTAATCATTTCACAGAACTATTCTGGAATCACAAATACAGACAATAAGACATTTAGTGTGTTTCTGGAGTGAGCCGTTGGATGGGTGACGTGTGAAAGTGTTATTTATTGTCCAGTAGTTCTTCACTGATGCATGTGTGAGAACGTCTTCGAATGCGTCTCGACCAATCAGAATCAAGGAGCGGACTGTCCACTTTATAAGAAAGAAGTATGAGCTCAAACATGCCAGCTTAACTTTTGCTTAAAATATGATTTAATGATTTAAAATGAATGGCAGTATAATTTATGTTTGTTTTATTCTTCATTCCTGTTGTGATCTGAATACCATTAAGGACTTGTTGTGATGGGAACTAAAATACATGTTTATAGCGTTTAGAATATTCCACATTATCTCTGAATGTAATAATAAAATGTGACTTTTCCACCAACTTTTAACACAAAGGGTCGGGCCGAACGGTTTGAAGAACGATAAGTTGTGTTTCCACTTGAGCCAGGATTACAAACTGAACCATGGAACGCTTGAGCGGTTCGGTCCGGCCGTGGAAAAGCGGATTGTGTTACAGGACAGGATCCATGTCAGCTACAAACCACAAAATGGATGCTCACAGATACCATCAATAACCACAAGATGGAGCTAGACGAGGTTCATTAGAGCCACAGTCAGAACAGGCTGACGTCCCTGAAGCTCCTTCTAATACATTGGACACAAAGTTGAAAACAATGGTTTTTGGAAAAGGACTTTGGATATGATGAGAGAAATCTCTCTGGCCACATTAAAGCAAGGGCTGTGTTGAGATAATGCCACTCTTACTGTGTTTGCACTGAAACTAACATCAGCCGTGCTTTCTTACATCACTATGTTGTCTGGTGCAATTTGATTGAATCATCTCCAACGACAAGCCATTTTTAGGGAAAAAATAATTAATTTTATGGTAATCTTTTATCATATGTCTTGCAATAATATCATATTGTGATTTGTATCGAATCGTGACACGAGGGGATCGTTACACCCCTAATATATAATCTAGAGGCCATATATGACGAGTGCCCGTTCCACTGGGCGATACACACACGCCTGAGAATAAGATGGAAGTGTAAGAACTCACTTTTTCTTGTCTTTGTCCTTCTTGAGCGGCTGTGAGAGCGAGAGCGTCTCGGCCGCCACTTTCCTCCTGTTGAAGGAGTTCATCTCCTCCTCCAGATCCCGCCTCTTCTCCTCCACCTTCCTCTTCTCCTCCTGATGCATGCGCTTCAGCTGCTCAAACTTCTCGTGTAACTGAGGACAGAGCGCGCGAGATCAGTGTGTGTTACGCCAGACGCAGGCCATGCTGACTTCATGGGCTAATTTTCATTTTTGGGTGAACCATCTCATGACTTAACCTCAAGTCATCCTAGCTGTATATATGACTTTCTTCTTTTAGACGAATACAATCATAGATATATTATGATGGATAGATGCACTTTTATGATGGATAGATGCACTTTTATGATGGATAGATGCACTTTTATGATGGATAGATGCACTTTTATGATGGATAGATGCACTTTAATGATGGATAGATGCACTTTAATGATGGATAGATGCACTTTTATGATGGATAGATGCACTTTTATGATGGATAGATGCACTTTTATGATGGATAGATGCACTTTAAGGATGGATAGATGCACTTTAAGGATGGATAGATGCACTTTAATGATGGATAGATGCACTTTAATGATGGATAGATGCACTTTAATGATGGATAGATGCCCTTTTATGATGGATAGATGCACTTTTATGATGGATAGATGCACTTTAATGATGGATAGATGCACTTTTATGATGGATAGATGCACTTTTATGATGGATAGATGCACTTTAAGGATGGATAGATGCACTTTTATGATGGATAGATGCACTTTAATGATGGATAGATGCACTTTAATGATGGATAGATGCACTTTAAGGATGGATAGATGCACTTTAATGATGGATAGATGCACTTTAATGATGGATAGATGCACTTTAATGATGGATAGATGCACTTTAAGGATGGATAGATGCACTTTAATGATTGATAGATGCACTTTAATGATGGATAGATGCACTTTAATGATTGATAGATGCACTTTTATGATGGATAGATGCACTTTTATGATGGATAGATGCACTTTAAGGATGGATAGACGCACTTTTATGATGGATAGACGCACTTTAATGATGGATAGATGCACTTTAAGGATGGATAGATGCACTTTTATGATGGATAGATGCACTTTAAGGATGGATAGATGCACTTTTATGATGGATAGATGCACTTTAAGGATGGATAGATGCACTTTAATGATGGATAGATGCACTTTTATGATGGATAGATGCACTTTTATGATGGATAGATGCACTTTTAAGGATGGATAGATGCACTTTTATGATGGATAGATGCACTTTTATGATGGATAGATGCACTTTTATGATGGATAGATGCACTTTAAGGATGGATAGATGCACTTTAATGATGGATAGATGCACTTTTATGATTGATAGATGCACTTTTATGATTGATAGATGCACTTTTATGATGGATAGATGCACTTTTATGATGGATAGATGCACTTTAAGGATGGATAGATGCACTTTAATGATGGATAGATGCACTTTTATGATTGATAGATGCACTTTTATGATTGATAGATGCACTTTTATGATTGATAGATGCACTTTTATGATGGATAGATGCACTTTTAAGGATGGATAGATGCACTTTTATGATGGATAGATGCACTTTTATGATGGATAGATGCACTTTAAGGATGGATAGATGCACTTTAATGATGGATAGATGCACTTTTATGATTGATAGATGCACTTTTATGATTGATAGATGCACTTTTATGATTGATAGATGCACTTTTATGATGGATAGATGCACTTTTAAGAATGGATAGATGCACTTTTATGATGGATAGATGCACTTTTATGATGGATAGATGCACTTTAAGGATGGATAGATGCACTTTAAGGATGGATAGATGCACTTTTATGATGGATAGATGCACTTTAAGAATGGATAGATGCACTTTTATGATGGATAGATGCACTTTTATGATTGATAGATGCACTTTTATGATTGATAGATGCACTTTTATGATGGATAGATGCACTTTTAAGAATGGATAGATGCACTTTTATGATGGATAGATGCACTTTTATGATGGATAGATGCACTTTAAGGATGGATAGATGCACTTTAAGGATGGATAGATGCACTTTTATGATGGATAGATGCACTTTTAAGAATGGATAGATGCACTTTTATGATGGATAGATGCACTTTTATGATGGATAGATGCACTTTAAGAATGGATAGATGCACTTTTATGATGGATAGATGCACTTTTATGATTGATAGATGCACTTTTATGATTGATAGATGCACTTTTATGATGGATAGATGCACTTTTAAGAATGGATAGATGCACTTTTATGATGGATAGATGCACTTTTATGATGGATAGATGCACTTTAAGGATGGATAGATGCACTTTAAGGATGGATAGATGCACTTTTATGATGGATAGATGCACTTTAAGGATGGATAGATGCACTTTTATGATGGATAGATGCACTTTTATGATGGATAGATGCACTTTTATGATGGAAAGATGCACTTTAAGGATGGATAGATGCACTTTTATCATGAATAGATGAACTTTTATGGACTTCCAAAACAATATACCCATTGACTCCCATTATAAAGCTTGGAAGAGCCAGGACATATATATTATATTTTACTATAACTCTGATTGTATTCGTCTGAAAGAAGAATGTCATATACACCTAGGATGGCTTCAGGGTGAGTAAATCATGGGCTAATTTTAATTTTGGGTGAACTATCCCATTCACCAGGACTAACCTCTCTCTCCTTCTCCTTCAGCTCGCCCTCCGTCTCCTTCACTTTATTAACGAACATCTGCCTCATCTCCTCTTCCTTCCTTTGCAGATCTCCCAGAAACTCCTTCCTTTTGGCTTCATACGTCTCCTGTAGACTGTAGAAAATATTTTGCTTTGAACTGGTCAATTTTTTATGGTAACGTATTTAACCTGATTTTCCTTTTGATAAAAGATTTACATGCAAATTTTACAAACATTTTAACTTAAAATCCACATGAAATCGCATTCAATGTGATTCATTTCCAAGCAGCAAAATCTATTTAATCATTCACACATAAAGCCTTTTCTGAAAAACGTGAGCGAACATCAGGATGAAAACACAGAATACTGCAGTGTGCTCATAATAAACAGAACGTCTCCGTCCGTTGGTGTGGATGCTAATATAGTTATCGTTATATATATATCTTTACAGATTTTGTTCTTTTACTGGCATTATGTTTCGACAACTGCGCTACATTTTAAAGAGGGATCAGTAGCCCAAAACAAGCCTAAGTGTCCACAATATTTAATTTATATTAATGTCACAGCCAACCATTTTTTTCCAAAACAAACAGTTATTACAGAGTAGCATGAAGACATTATTTCTGCTGAATATGTAAAACTGATGGATGATAAAACCAGGAATGTATATTAATGGGCTATATGCACGCATAACTTCCGCGTTTGACGCAAGGATGCTCGTGCGTTTCCGGTTGGGGAGATTTAAAGTGGAGGATAACCGAGGAAAACGGGATTATGGCAGAGTCTTCAAAATTTACTGTCCTCTCGTCTTTGAAACGAAACTTTAATACGTTTAGATGTCATTTTATATATAGTTATGTTTATTTAATATAATAAACACAGAAGCATAAACAAAATGAGGAGTGTCTGTTTTGTCTGTTTTTGTGACTAACGTTTCTTTAGTATAGCAATTGAGTATAAAAACCAATATAAATTCTCGGTATAGCATTGGACTCTACGATCGGCGGAAGTAATCCAGCATCCTTAGACCTTCACCGGAAATACCGCCGTGCATAGAGCCAATTAACCCTTTGACGTAGGGATGCACCGACATGAAGATTTTGGCCGATACGATAAATCTAAATCCAAATTTTTATATAAAAGTGCCTGATTACAAAAACAAAAGTCTCACCATAAAATGTCCCAAACAAACAATTATAATGTTCTCATGATCACTTTATGTAGCCGATATGACAGACTTGTGCTGCTCATAACCGTATTTTCCTTTTTTGAAGCGATTACATTCATATTTCCAGCAATTCAAAGCCATCATGTTGAACATTTGCAAGCCATCAAACAGACAGACTGGACTGATGAAACCGGCGACTATTTCCCTACTATTAAAGCATGGATTTGATGTAAACAATAGATCCATATAATATTCACATGCAGTTCATAGAGGGCATAATGTACAAGCCCTGCAGTTACCACATGTAATAACACTTTAACCCATTACATTTTACATAGATAACATTTAAACCTGTTTTTATCCCACAATTGTGACTTTTTTCTCGCAATTGCGAGTTTCACAAATCAGAGGGAAAAAATAAACTAATTCTGAGGAAAAAAAGGCAGAACATCGAGTTTATATGAATTATAAGATATAAACACAAAATGCCCCTTTTCACTCTTTTATTCAGGTAGGCTCCGCCCACAACACATCATTACACAAATTATCTATAAAGTTGAGTTAATTCTTCTCCCAGTTCACCAGACACTTACTTCTTTCATGTATTTCGGGAGAAATGGATGTATTTACATGTTGTAAATCTGAATCAGAACTGAAAGGGTTAACTGTGATTTCATGTTGACTTTACAATTTCGAAAGCTACTTTCCAGAACACAGTTTTGAATCAAAAGCAGAACACTTTCAGTGTAAAGGCCTGATCACACAATGACCAAAATTCTATGCGATAAACATTTTAATATGAACGAACGTCACAAACATTCGCATGCCACTAATGCAAATCTATTCTCCATCACATGGTGAAGGAAACTGGCCAACCAATAAGATACAATTTGTACTACTAAGTAACACCAAATTGCAAAATCAGTGCATGTTGAGAGCAAGCGGTCAATAAACCTTCCAGTCTCTCTCATGAAACCAACACTGAAGTGACTTAAACTGCAGTTCATCGACCGGCCACTAGAGACAGGCTGCAGGAGTGAGCCAATCCCATAAACCCCCATGTTAAAATGCCCAACTTTACAGCAGACAAAAACATGTGCAAAAAGTGGTTTTGGTCTATATAGCTCATTTTGCCCTTCATGATGACTGTGAGGGGGGTAAATTATTTTATAACTCGTCCGTTTAAATTATATTAAGCCTTAGAGTTCTGCATAATTAAGGGCGTGGTCACTTAAGTGACAGGTGAATTTCCGCTGATGTCACTACTAGCGGTTTGTCTGTTAGCGTCACGTCACCTCAGCTAATCCGCCTCGCTGCACAGTTTGGTTTATCCGGGAGTGACGCGAGACCAACAGGTATCCGCCCACTTTGGGCTTCAAAAACGCTCTTCAGAAACACTACGGGTGACGTCACGGACACTACGCCCATGTTTCTTTACAGTCTACGGTTGAGAGCTAGCAGGGAGTGTGTGAGGGGGTTCTCACCTGAAGGGCTGGCTGTCCGGGTCGGTGTCTTTGAAGCCCATCTCCTCGAGTTTACAGCGCCTGTAGAGCTCGTAGTGTCTGGCGTGAGTCTGTTCTCGCAGATCCTCCATGTTCACTCTGATCAACATCTCCCGCAGCTTCACAAAATCACAGTGACTCTCATTCTCCACTGCAACACACACACACACACACACACACGGTGAGTACAGTAACAACGGTCACCACTGAAGGGAGGAGCGCTTGAAAGTCCACTTGATCTTCTCTCCAGGCTCATGGCCAGTGAGTAAACTTTGAAAGGCGGAGCCTTATAAAGTCATAATTTTATGTAGCCGATATGACATGTTCCACTTTACTGTATTTTGCTATTTTGAAGTGATTCAAGTCATATTTTAACCAATTCAAAACCATCAAGTTGAACAGTGCGCATCTGAAGTGTCTCAGCTGTAGGAAATAATACATTATTTATCGGCAACATTTTTCTTATCGGGCCGATAACTATAACATTATAAATGAACACATATCGGTATGGTGGCCGATATATCGTGCATCTCTAGTCTGAACTAGTTAAGCAAGTAGTCATATGCCTGAGAACTGATTTTTTTTAAATGATTTGTATTTGTCTGTATTTGTCTGCATGCTGAAAAATAGTGCTGCACGATTAATCGTATCGCAATCGTAATCGCGATGTCAAGCCTATGCGATTATATGACGCAAAATAATGCAATTTTATATGAAATAAACAAATTAGGGCTGTTAACACAGCATGTTATTTTTTGTCATCCTTTGGCTAGTGTTACATGATCCCGCTCTTATTCATGCGAATGCTTTAAAGTTTAAACCATTTTAGCGAGACAAGTCAAAAGAGAGCGCGCTGCCTGTGAATGTCCTGACTGAAAGACGCGCGCCAGTATCATGCGCGTGCACAGACCGCGCGCCAGAAAACAGCTCTCTTTCCGCTTGAAGTGAACGAACAATAACACACACAATTATGCCAAAATATCATTTGTCGAGTGTCTTCATAACATAAGAGCAGTCTTATGATGGTCGCAAAGAGTTGTGAGAGAATAAAGCCCGTTCACACTACACGCGACCAAGCGACGCGATACCATTAATTTCAATGGTGAGCGGGCGACTTCCGGCGACACGCGCGACAGCGACCGTTGGCGACTAGATTGGGCGTGTCTAGCAACGCGACAAAGTTGAGAAATTTTTTACTTTATGCAAATGAAGAGCGATTTTCGCGAGCGACAACCAATAGGAGTGGAGCGCACGTGATCCTTCTCCTCAGCCCCTGGGCCTGCAGTGATGGATGGCAAGAAAGCTGATTCGCTGTCTTTTGGATGTCATACTAGTCAACCAGTAGTGGGAACGCCCACTAGCGACCTCATCACCAGCGCCTGGCGACTTGCAGCGACAAAGTCGCGTGTAGTGTGAACGGGGCTTAAGGCGCGTGTGAGATCCGCATCTCTGTCAGCAACTCTTAAAGGGCCAGCATCCAATAATACTTTCTGTCAGTAAAGTTAATCAAAGAACAAAGGGAACAGAGAAAAACACTCACTGCTCTTGACCAAAGAACTTGTGTAGCTTTAAATAGGATTTTAGTCCATATAATTGATAATGTATGCAGCGCAGACTGTTTGATAACTTTATTAAATTTCTGTATGTCCTACCTGTTAGACAGGAAGAGCACAGGTAAATATGACATTTATTATGGGTTTATGTGAGGATTGTTTGAAGTTCACTTAAATTAAAATTAAATGAATTTTTACCCAGACATCAATGGCTTATTGGTCATTATAGGTGTTATCAATCATTTAGTTGTTGTTGCTAGTTTGAGTTGAGAAATACACATTTCAGAATTATCACTAATCTGTGTGTGCATTTTGCTTTAGAACCAAGCAAGTTGACTCATGAAATCATTTGTTTATTATATCGCAATCGCAATATTGACCTCAATAATCGCAATATGACATTTTCCCCAAATCGTGCAGCCCTACTGAAAAACCCTACGAGACTTCCCAAAGCCAAGCGCTGTTCTAAGTGAAGAGCTCTACGCCGAGCGTCTCTGTCATGGAGCACGAGTCTCTACTTGAGCTGGACGAGCAATTAAACTGACACACGGTTACGGCTAACGACGTGACCTTCTCAGTGGCAGACATCTGAGACAACAGTGTAATTAGCTTCCGTCGAGAGTGGCATTTATCGCCGCTTTGATTGATGGGATTGTTTTCACATGAAAGGCATTGTAAAAATAGTACCCTCCCAACCAGTATCCACAGAGAGAAGCTGAAGGAGAATGAACAGCAGGGTTCAAATGAAAGTGTCCGACACTCTCCAGGCCCTCGAGCATGATATTCTCCAGTGACAGAGTAACATCAACTAAAACAGCCACACTGCAAGAATGTTATTTCTTACTAGCGCTGTCAAAATGGCTGAAAAGCTAAATTCGAATTTCTTTCTTAAATATTAGCAAATTTCAAATGATAATTCAAAAGGCAATACTTCATATTAAAGGTGCTCTATGTAACTTTTCTACTAAAATGAATCCTTTTTTTATTGCCTGTGTGTGAAGGGGTTGTAATCACACATTAAAATGATCCACTTGTCGAGTTTTGCTATTACCTCTGAAGACCGGTATTCCTATTTCTATGTGAAGTCTCCGGGTCGGATTTACCGTGAAATCCAACGCATGCGCGCTCCCGAGCCTCTCTCCTTATATACAGTCTATTGTAGACGGTCAGGGAGTTACGTCCGGTTAAAGGCGCACGTTTTTTGGCTTATATCTCAGTCAATCTTTGATCAATATTCCCAAGACTCTAATCGTTCGCAGTGCTGGACGGGGCCTTTCGAACGAGCCCACCCCCGAGGTCCAACTCGCCCGGCTCCCCGAGTTAGGCGATCCGGTAGGGGGCATCCCCGAGGCCCGCCACTCGAGCGTTCGGGCAAGGGTTCCCCTGGGACCTCCTCCCCCGAATTTGAGCTCTCTGGGTCTTTGCGTTCCAGAGATACGAGCGATTTTCTTCTGAGATCGTGACGTCACCGGCGTCCGCAATTTTGCAGCGCGCCCGATGGTTTTCTGCTAATATCTCCGCGAAAACACCACCAAAAACTATGGAACTTATATGGTTCTTTTCAGCTCGACTAGATGGTCCCAACGAGCTCGGTGCTCGCCGAATCCGTCTAGTATTCGCCGAGATATTTGCGTAATAGACGGTATTGTCTATAAGTTCGAGCACGAGCGCTCTTGTAAAATTTGGTTGCAATCTGAAACATCACCACTAGAGGCCGCTAAAAGTTACGTAGAGCACCTTTAAAAGAAAAATAAAGTGCTGTGTTGTCTCATATGCCCACAAGAGGGCGCAAGCGAGCGCAATAAGCAAACATAAACCAAATCAAGCATCCCATCTTTTCTTGAAATGAAATGACATTCACTTTTTAAACAATTGTTCTTAAATCAAATATAATTTCCTTAATGTGCTTTAGTGTAAATTAGGTTACAATAGCGCATAAAACTGTGTTTGTGCATCAGTAACCTGAGAAAACACGCTTCAACACACAGCGTAATGAACTACATGAACACAAAATAGCAAACTGCCATTCAGAAACAATCCACTTCTACATATTGTTGGTCAAAAACCCCAGATGGTCGTCTCTATCCGCAGCGAGTGCTGAGCACTTTTTGGTTGATGATGTTTCCAGCTGAGGAAAACACACACTCAGCTCCGATGTGCAGGTTTGGTCAAGTATGCCGTTGCACGATTTTTGCCACTAACTGAGAGGTTTTCGTCAGCAGGAAGCCTTTTCCCAACACAATCTAGCTCTTTATACTGGATAAGCTAACAAAAACAAAACGCGTCTCGCGCCTCTTGACGCAACAAAAATTTGTTCTGCATTCGAATGTGATTTTTTGTTTTATATAATGAATATTCGAAATTCAGATTTTTATTTGACAGCCCTATTTCTTACCTTGAACGACTCCCCATGGGTATTGCCTGGCCCTCACGGTCTTATTGCCCACCTTCACCTCCTCGACACTGCCCACCACAGCAAAGGGAAGATGGGCCTAGAATAAAGACAATTAAAGGTTACATTGGTAATGTTACAAGTCCTACTAGTACTCAATCTGATTTCCTTCGCATCTGTGCCCACTGAAATATACATTCACATCTGTATTTAAATTCAAATTGCACACACGCCTTTATGTGGTTTATGTCTATGATAAGCAAAGACTCACGTTCATAGAGGAATTGATTTCTGTGACGGCTTCATCATCTGTGGGAAACTGGTAGATCTGAACCCCATTGCTAACCAGCTCGCTCATGATTTTTATCTTGAACTTGTGTAGCTCGCTCTTGGAAATCGTGTCAGCTTTAGCGATAATAGGGATGATGTTCACCTAAAAGAAAACAAAAACAAAGACATTTCACAACATGTCTATGTTCTAGTTCCACATCTGGAGAGTTTGTAGTTAGATATAGATCTTTTGTTACATTAGATACCAGTAATAAATCAGGCTACAAAATAACAAGCAAACAAGCCTCAATCGTGACTTTCTATGTGACAAACTGAGAAATTTAGCAGAATGCTGAAAGTGCAAAAAAATTCTCCTTATAAAACAGAAGTAGATATTAACTGGGGCTGTTAGTCTCCTAAGCCATCTCATGAATACATTTGTCTCAGAGTGGTAACATTAAAGTGCCCCAATAATGTAGTGTAGTAATAAAGCTGTTTGTGAATGCAAAAGGTCTGCAAAGTTTCAGAGATCAAAGTGCAGATAAATGGAGTTCATGTCTTCCAAAAGAAATGAGTGATTTCGAACGGCCTGAAACAAGTCGTCAGTAATTCCCGTCTCACTTCCTGTTTGAAGATCTACATGTTTGTAATAAATTTGCATAATGCCAGCCTGTGACCTGAGCCTCAGACTGGACCATCTGACCAATCAGAGCAGAGTAGACCAATCACAACAGACTGGGTCGTCTGACCAATCAGAGCAGAGTAGACCGATCACAACAGACTGGGTCGTCTGACCAATCAGAGCAGAGTAGACCGATCACAACAGACTGGACCATCTGACCAATCAGAGCAGAGTAGACCAATCACAACAGACTGGGCCATATGACCAATCAGAGCAGAGTAGACCAATCACAACAGACTGGGCCATCTGACCAATCAGAGCAGAGTAGACCAATCACAACAGACTGGGCCATATGACCAATCAGAGCAGAGTAGACCAATCACAACAGACTGGGTCGTCTGACCAATCAGAGCAGAGTAGACCGATCACAACAGACTGGGTCACCTGACCTGATCTAATGGCGGACAGAAAAACAAGCGCTCCCCAGGTTTAGCATGTATTTGTTTTCACGGGGCCCTGAGGCCACATCATTATGAACCATCTGTGTATCTCCTGCAAACACAAACCCCAGAGTCTCCTCTCGTTCACGCCATTATTCTCTGATGAAATGACGAATCGATCGGCTCTTTTTCCACTGGCAGGAAGAGAGAAGCCCTGCCCACTGTCCTACATTTACACATTATCAATGATCAATACACTCATCACTAATGACATTCCCTACAAACTCACAAAACGAGCGCAAACAAGATGGTCATTCATGCTTTTGGCAGCAAAAGAAATTTGAATGTAATGTCATATCAGGGTTTGAACTAAACACTCGCCAAATGTGTGTATAAATCGACTGTGGCGGGAAACACTGTCAGATCGCTCGCCAGTTTGAACTGTTACTTATTATATTTACTCACTTTGCTGGAAGTTCGTGTAAGACAAATCTGCACAGATTTACACAAAAACTCGTGAGTCATGATATATTAAATACAGCGTATTGCAGAATCTGCTCATATCTGGCTTACTTGAACACACACACACACACACACGTCACTACGCAACAAATAACGACACGCTTGTTCATCTGCATTGAAGCAATAGCGAACATTAAAAAGCATTTGGTTAACAGAAAATACTGTTATTTTCCAACATCCACATTTTTTTTATGTTTCTGTGTGCTGTATTGATCTGTCCAACTAAAACACATTTTTGGTGAAAAGGACGAGATGCTGGATGACAGGATTTTATTTTAATAAGAAATTAATGTATGAAATTCAAATTTTATTTTAAACAAAGCCATGACGTAGGTAATCTGGTTAGCCAAATTGGCCGGTGAGTGAAAAAGTTAATTTCAAACCCTGTTCATGTCATACACAACTTCTACATTTTAAAACATAAGCAATAACAACATTTAGTAGTACCGTAATAATGTTTTCCACTCACACTTGTTTTGTAACCTAGTCCACTTGAATGATATATTAATATTGATGAGGATGATGATAACTTTGGCTTTTGCAATATTCAGCTTTTGAAACAGTCTTACAACTTTACACATTTTGATATTGTAAGCACTGGCTGAAAACTATACACACTTGGAGCGAATCTTGTAAAAAAAAAAAAAAAAGTTAATTTCAGCAATTTCACATGCATATAATTTGCTATTATAATAATATCCTTATTTTATAACGAGTCATCAGGAGGATGCAGCCTAGCGGTTAGCGCACATGCGTTTGCAATGAAGTGTAATCTTCATAATAAGTGGAGATTCTCATGTAGAACACTTGCTAGTGAACCGCAGTGACGGGCACCTACCTTGCTGTCCAGCTTCTTCATCGTGACTAAATCCAGGGACTTGAGCGAGTGTCCCGTCGGAGAAATGAAGTACAGGCAGATGTGAATCCTGGTGTCGTGGTAGTTGAAGAGGGAACGCTTTATTTTCAGCTCTTCCTGCAGGTAGTTTTCAAACTGTGTGTCGATATAATCCACAATAGGTTTATAGCTGAGAGAAACAGACAACAAATCAGCATTACAATACGCATACAAAGCCACTTATCATCAATAATATTTGAAAGAGTTTGATATATTTGTTATCTCTTCTCAAAAATCGAGACACTTTGTGTGAGAAGAAGAGAGACACAGCTGTGTAGAGACTGGCCTGGATCATGTTTACATTCTCTGACCTCGTCTCTTGACTTCTCAGGCATTTTTCCCAGCATGCACCGCTCGTAAGCTTTCAGAGCCTACGCTGTCTTGTTCTGGATGCATTTTTCCCAAAAGATGCAATGTCTGGCATCCGTAAGTCTGTCTATCTCACACCCAACATGCAGAGGGTTAGAAGGCGTATTCTAAGAGTCCAATACAAAATATGGCCTTAAAAACCTGAGAAAAATTAGTGTTTCTTTACTCTCTCAACTAACGGGCAGTTGTTTTGTTTATCATTTATTTTAAATGAGGTTTGCAACCTGATAACATTTGGGACATGCTTAAAATTTGATTTTGTTATCAAATAGAGGACTTGTGTTCATCTTTCTTTAGCGTGTAATGTTGCAGTTTCTCTGCAAAGTTCAGCTCCAGCCGACCAATCAGAGCACAGTGTGCTTTTCAGAAGGCGGGGCTTCATAGAGACAGGAAGTAAACAGAGCGTTACTGACAGACTGGGAAGAGAGGAGCCGCAACAATGGAGAATAATGAGTTTGAGCCGTCACTCAATGTTTTTGATAAACATATTTCATATACAATAAAGAATAACATTTCTTTAAAAATTTTCTTATAACAACAAAAGTTGAATGCAGTCAACATTATAACGCGGGCTTACTTTTCAAGCTTGTTTAACAGTTTGTGCAACAATATCAAGAATAGCTCTCACACAACCATAGTGATGGGGACGAGACCGCCTATGCCGAGTCCGAGTCAAGACCGAGTCTTTGAAGGGTCGAGTCCGAGTCGAGATTTTGTCTCGACATGTCAGTTTTGATATTCATGATTTAATATCACCCCAGTTAATAATCAACAGTTAGGCCTACAACCTAAACTAGATTGGGAATTGTTTAGAGGAGCCGTCTTAATATGGACTATGCTTTTACTATCATTAAAAAAATCCCTACCACATGCATCATCTTCTGCCTATTTTTCTAAAATGCTTCAACAGTGCTGCTCTGTCATCAACATGTTAAGCCCACCCTGACTTTTTTAATCATAGGTAGGACATGCAGAGCAAATCAAAATTTTCTAGTGGCATGTCTAAATTAGTAGGCTTAGCTACTTTATAACATTTTCCAATATTTCCCAATTTTAAATATGTTGACAATACACTCGAATTCAGTATCTTTTAAAACTTTATTCCCCCATAACACACACATACATAAACACAATTGCACTGTGTATTGCAGTTAATGACAATACTGACTCTTTTACTTCATTTCCTCTCTTCCTTTTCCACCCCAAACCGATCCCTTTCCATAGACAAGAGCGTTTAATTGAAGCTTTTTATGAGTTTTCAGCATGTGGGTGTTCAAATATGAACAAACTGCTTTGTATAAACAGGCTTGTGAGGCTTGACTCATTCGTATGTTTTGAATATATCAGTTTCTCAGTGCAACTGACGTTGGTGTAAACAGTACAGGGCATTTTTGTATTTTACTTTACCTTTCGTCTTTGTTGATCTGATCCCCAAAGCCCACCGTGTCGACGATGGTCAGTTTTAGGTGGACGTTGCTCTCTTGCAAGTCGTACGTTCTGGGCCGCAGGTACACACCGTTTTGGTAATGGCTGGCCTCCTCGTTTTCAAACATGGTGTTAAAAAGGGTGTTCATTAATGTAGACTTGCCGATGCCCGTCTCTCCTAATGAAAAGAGAATGACTGATTAGCATCTCCACTACAAGATCATACTATCCCAGCATTGACATTGAGCTAGTGAACAGTTTAAATGGGCTGTTAAGAGTTGCTTACCCACACAGAGGATGTTGAAGCAGAAACCCTGAGTCACTGATTTACTGACCAGCTGATCAGGCAAACTGTCAAAGCCGACATGACCACCAAGGCTGAGGTTACGCTTTTCTTCATTCTGTGAAGGAATCAGACAAATTAGACCATGGACTGAAATAAGGCTCACGTAAAAGGCAATCTTTCGCCTCTCTAGTTATTTGTATTGGCATCAGCCACTGAAAAACCCTTCTGTATTGTGACACGCATCTGAATGAAATGGATTGCCGTAAAGAAAAAAGGTCACACTATTCCGATAGTCCACTTTAGACAGTCTCTACTAACTATAAGCAACTTTGCAAGTGCATGTCAACTGTCAGTCAATAGAGTATTAATAGACTGTCTGCTTAATATCTAATAACTCTTTATTGTGATGCTCCTCAACAGACATTCTTCTGACTAGAAGTAACTTTGCAACTACATGTCAACCTATTCTGCTAATCGAACCCTAGCAGTCTACTCTAATGAGAGTTAGTTGACAAGTTACTTATAATTCGTAGAATGTCTAAAGTGGACCATCAAAATAAAGTGTAACCAGAAAAAATTGTGGGGACTTGGTTCTATGCATCATTTACACATTGGATGAGGCGGTTGATTTTTAGTAAGAGGTGGGGTTAATGTGAATAAACAACACAGTCTCATCCTTTGGCGTTATATAGGTGACGCCATATGACATTTCGTTGAAATACTACGCACATGGCACGCACACTGCATGTTATATTCACGCTAAAGGGTGCCATGTGCGTAGTATTTCAACGAAATGTCATATGGCGTCACCTATATAACGCCAAAGGATGAGAACGGGCTCGAATAAAATGATGAGAGAGATGCCTATGATTTCATCAGAAGGACTTAAACATTAAAACATATTAGGTCAAAATGTTTTTAAAAAATAAAATGCATGCATATAGAAAAGAGATTTTTTTTATGTCATGTCCATTCCAGACAATCAGTCATTCAAAGCATTCCCAAAAAAGTCCTGTAATTCAGAGCCAGACAAATCTAAAATCCCACTAATGGGTGCCCTAAAACTCAGTCCTGAAATCAATGCGCTCCTCCCTCATCTGGCTCCGTCTTTCCCCCAATGCAGGCACATATTTGGTGGATGATGTCACTGAGAGTGCTACTGAGGGAAGCAGCAATTCAGCTGGTGTTACACACACACACACACACACACACACACAAAAAAGGAATTCTAGCTGAAAAACCTGTACCGACCCCCTACCACCCAGTGTCATTTCAACCCAGAGGCACTGAAGGGGAGATCCAACATTAGGAGGTGAAGAAGGGGAAATGGCTGAAAGCATTTTTGGAAAACATGCCGTCTGGGAAAAATCTTGGGAAGGCTTGAACAATGGCCATATAGGGGCCGATAGTAAACGCCCCGGCCGCAGGGGGAACTGTTCCCCTCGGGGGGCAGTAGATCAAGAGGAAGTGGAGCAGCGTTCGGGCCCTAGAACAATATTTTCTCAGCCCGCCCTCACAGTGACAGGCCTGATTCATGATACACACTGACAGAACACACTGAGAGCTGTGCGCACATCAGCAAACATTCCATGCATTTCTATGCGAAAGAATCGCCCCATCCAAAAACACTTAAAGAAATAATTCCTCCAACAGGGAAACTCTGTCATCATTCCAAACACCACTGACTTAAGATGTAGCCTATTCTTCCTTAGGACACAAAAGAAGATATTTTGAATAATGTACCAGTGGCAATTTTCCATTTGATAATAATAATTATTCAAATGAATGAGCTTCAAAATAGATCACAGAATGGCTAATAATGACAGTGGCTTCAACTGTATCAAAAAACTCAGTTAGTTTAAATGCCATGAGGGTTGAATTTTTTACTTTTTTTAGGATGAACACTTTAAGATTAGAAATTAATTTCCGTCATTTGCACCAGTGGCTGAATTATGGACGCACGATATATCGGCCACTATATCGGTATCGGCCCGATATATGTTCATTTTTAATGTTATCGGCCCGATAAGAAGATTTGGCCGATATATTAAAGTCGATGAATAATGTATTATTTCCTCCAGCTGAGACGCTTCAGATGCGCACTGTTCAACATGATGGCTTTGAATTGGTTAAATATGATTGTAATCACTTCAAAAAAGGAAAATACAGTAAAGTTCAACACGCACAGCACAAGTCTGTCATATCGGCTACATAAAATTATAAAAAAAACATTATAATTGTGTGCTTGGGACAAGATTTAATAGTTAAACTTTTGTTTTTGTAATCAGGCTCTCAAATATTATGCAAAAATGTAGATTTAGATTTATCGGCCAATATATCGGTTATCGGCTTTGAAATATAAAGGTTTATCGGTATCGGACAAAACCTTCATATCGGTGCATCCCTAATAAGAATGATTTAAAACAATAACTCTGCAGGGAACAATGACACCATCCAATGGACAATCCATGATGGAGTCTAGGACAACACAGACTGTTAAAGGCAGATGGGAACTCAGTGCCAGTGGAGAAGAGCCAAACTCTCACCCCCCACATACACCTGAGTGTGTGTGTGTGTGTGTGTGTGTCCGCTTCAGCAAACTGACAAAACAACCCTCATCGGAAATTTCTCTGGCATCTCATCTGATATGACGGGAGGAGGGGCCGGTATGGAGAAGAATGCAGATGGTCGAGATTTGGGTGGCATCTGCGCTGAACAGGGTTTTATCTGCACACACACACACACACACACACACACACACACACACACACACACTGCTGTCTAGCTGCCACTCAGTGCATGCATTCATAAACTCCTTTTAAACCTGAAGTAAAAAGACAGGTGTAAAGTTTTATAATAAATTACACTGATAACATATCATTAATGCCGTCACCCGTCAGGGCAAGTCCCAGCAGTTTCATGAAATTTAAGGTCATAAAAAGCCTAAATATCTTAGTGTACATAATAATTATTTTAAAGTGTTCACAAAAAACATATCATTACTCACCCTCACATCGAACCAAACCCATGAGACTTCCGTCGTCGAAACACAAATGTAGATATTGTAATGAACTACCACTTTCACGCCTCTAATTCATAAAGAGATCATACAACTAATCCATTTGAATTGAGTGTTTTAGTCAATATTTTTGACTTGATGGCTTTAAATGATGAACAGATTTAATTTAGGCGTTTATTCCCATATAAACATTGATCAGTCAGTGAACATAAACAGAAGCTCGTGCTCGACGTGAGAATTCAATGAATACGAGTGATGCATGTTAAATTACATAATTATTAAACAAAGTTTGAAGCAGAAACACTTTTTGTAGTCTAAGAAATTAAATAGTTCTCCTTGTTAATGTCTGCTTGTATCCCTTTATTAATGGATGAAGTTTTTCAATGTGCTCCACAGGGTAAAAGTGAAGCTTCATGCTCTCGCCTCGAAAATTAAGCCACAAAGTCTCATACACTGATCTTCATAAATGACATTTAGATCAGTGGTCTCATCTCTTAACCGCAAACCATGTGATGTTTGTGTTTATTAATGTCAGTGGTCAGATCATGTGGGATATCTGAGCATGAACAGGACGTTGACTCATCACGAAACTCATATAGCTTTAAATAACAGTAACTACACCAGCCCTGCCCTGAAACTAGAGTATAATACACTAAATTAAATTAATGCTGAACAGGACGGTCTTGTTCCAACCCTTCCAGTGAGAACACTGAACTGAACTGTGAAGAGTTGTGCAATTATAGGCTTCATCTGTCCGTAAAAGAGATTTAGTACTTCACACAAAAAGGAAAAATCTCGTATTTATCCTCACAAGTGCAAGTGAGACTTTAGCGCGGTACACATTACATAACACACCTCTTTCACTGAAAGGAAACAATTTGATAATACATTTCCATAGAGTCACTACTAGAACATTATGAGGACGCATTAATGATGACAGGATTTTACTTTTTGGGTGAACCGTCCCTTAAAGCTTTTTTAACCCATGATGTAATTAGAATTAGGATCGACCGTCCGCAGCTCAATGCAGTTGATCAATACGGCCCCTAAAACCACACAACGCTCCAATCAAAAGCCATTGACTGTGAAACACGCTTACATTTTTTCATTCATTCTCCTGGATTTAAAGTTAAACAACATCTAACCGAGACGCTGAAAGCAACGCACCAGTGGACAGTTGCATAAACTGCTTAGACTAGTCTTACGAGTTAGTCGCGTCATTTTTTCCTTTAACACTGGTTGCACTTTTTACATGTCAGGTACATTAAAAAATCCGAAAAGTACGATTAATCACCCCTTGACAAGCTATTTGCTCAGACTAGTGTTTAATATAGAGGAGAGGTTAATGAAACCGGCCACATGTTTCACTTCCACAGAACACACATAAACTATTATAGCTTTCCCCACAGACTACAGTAAACAGCTCAATACAGTTATTCTTCTCTAACCCAAACTAGTTTCCCTCAAATCCAGAGCACTTCCTCAAAATTAGCAGTGAATAAGTCGTTCCCTGAGCATTTCCCAGGACGGTGATGGATCAGTTCTCACGGCACATCTTCGTCTGGTTGAACTGTCTCTCAAAACACAAGTTTACAAATATAATCTACTTGAACTTGCCCTTGAAAAGCAGGTTCGATCAACATTACCAAGGAAGCCTTGCTTAAAGGGTTAATTCACCCAAAAATAAAAATGATCACATAACTTACTCACCCTCAAGTGTGTGTGTGTGTGTGTGTGTGTGACTTTCTTCTTTCAGCCAAACAGATTTATTAAAAAATATCCTGGCTCTTCTAAGCTTTATAATGGGAGTGAATGGTAGCTTAAGATTTAAAGCTCATCCATCCATCATAACAGTAATTCATACGAGTCCAGGGGTTAATAAATGCCTTCTGAAGTGAAGCCATGTGTTTTTGTAAGATAATATCCATATTTACAACTCTATAAACTATAATCACTGGCTTTCGGTAACGGGCATACGCGAGTCTAGATCTGGCGGAAGAGTGAACTCTGACTCCCATTATAAAGCTTGGAAGAGTCCGGATATTTTTAATATAACTCTGATTGTGTTTGGATGTAAGAAGAAAATTATAGCTAGGATGGCTTGAGGATGAGTAAATCACCACCTATTCCACAGATCCCATAATTAACACGTGAATTGTTCGAGTTTGACAGCGGGACGATCAGATGTCACCTCATCCGCCCTTTCTGTCACTCTTCTCTGTGATCTCACACTGAGGGCCTCATGTTGGCCCCAAACTTTACAGTTCACAACAGTGTTGTTTCAATGGGGATTATGGGTATAAAACACTCACAATGTCAAGTGCTTAAAGAGGGAGCATGTTGCCCCCACAGCGAACCTTGAAGACTGCCTGTAGGATCATCCGTGATCCATCCCATGCTATGCATTCTACGTTTGAGTGGCTGCCCTCAAGGCGCAGACTTCGCTGTCAAGTGTGTAGGACCCAGAGGAGGAAGGTGACCTTTGTCCCCAGGGCTGTCCTGCTATTAAACTCCAAGTCACCATCCGCCCCCCAAATCTTTGAACTGCGCTAAACATGCCATAGACTGAACAGTCATATCCACTTTTATTCTTATTTTTTATTTATTTATTTATTTTTAGTAATGATGTGCTGTGTGGAGTTGAAGATATGCTATTCCTTGTGTCATTTGAATTGCCCCTTGGGGATGAATAAAGTGATTTGAATTGAATTGAATTGAATTGCCTTCAAAAGCAATCTGGCAAACTACTGAAATAGTAAATGTGTACTATAGACTGCATCAGGCTGTTGACTGTACTGTAAATACAGAGATGTTCACAACAAACAATCAAGAGACTGAGAAAAGACAAGTTCAACACCCCTTTCGGCTCACCAGAAACACTATATAGCTCCATTAAGATCACAAAAGACAGATCATACACCTGATCTGACCTGTAGTACACACACACACACACACACACACACACACACACACACACACACACACACACACACACACACACACACACACACACCGTAAAGCAGTGAATAGTCAATATAGAGTCCGTTGGGCTAAGCTAGAGAGTAGCGCTCGCGCTAGTCCTAATTCAGATAAACCTGTACAGACCGTGTATGTTGTCCATCTAACGTTAAGTGGGTTTCCGGAAGTAAAAATTGACTTTAAAGTGTACTTACAGAAAATATGTCTACATCCGTGGCCGCCATGATGAGGAATGTGTGTGTTTGGAGGATAAGGCAAAAGGGAGCTGCCTGCCTTCGTCTCACTCACTCTCACTGTGGTCGGGCTGGAGAATTTACCACCGTTACTATGGTGAAGGCCTTGCTTATGAATTTAAATGACGCAATGTTACGCTCTGCGCTGATTGGCTGAAAGGCACAAATTTGAATATTAATTAGGTTACGTGAGATCGGACGGAGCCTTTTTTTATTTATTTTAATTTTTTATGCTCAATAACATAAGAGCATTGTCAACGAATTACATACAAATACATATAGATATCATAAAATAAACAAATAATTATACAAAAACGATGAAAAACAAAAGATGACATGGCGAAGAGATATGACAAAGGCATACATTACAATTGTATTGATATAGCATACATTAATAGACAAGCCTTTACGTGCATGTATTTTCTTTAAATATTTCTTCATAATATTCAATATAGGCTATCTTAGCGATTTTTATTATTATTTATATAACGAAGAGATTTCAGAAGTGAGATTAATTCAGTGTCAAAATAAGGATGGGACAGATACCATTTGCAAACTTTTGTTTATGAATGAAGATTTTGCCATATAAAATAAAGAAATGAACAATGTACTCTATTTTTTATCATCATTATAATACAAAAATAATGTCTTTTAGACTGAAAGGATATCATGACTGAACGAATCAGAATGATTGTTTAGCAGCTCGAGACGACGGAGTTAATATTCATGAGACAATATTATGCCATACTAGGATTCGTAATTTCGTAAAATCCTTCAATATGTCTTCTTCCTGGAAACTCCTTCTTTTACTGTCAATGGGAAACTCAATTGCTTCAGGAATGACTTTTCTCAAGACCCGACAAGATAGAGCTTCTAAATAAATAATTACGCAAGTAATTATGACATAACTGTACATAATGTTCATCGAAATACACGCACAGGGACGATACATGCACTTTGTTGATTTATTGAGTTTAGCGTTTTAAAATTTTATAATTAGGCCAATTCATTATTACTGATATGATTTTTTTTTAAACAATTTAACAATTTAAAGGTAACTCTCTATGTGTCTACCCATCTTCTTGACAAAAAAGAGAAGATTTTAATTCAATTAAAATAATCGGTTTAAACCTTTTTTAAAGCCCCGCCCCCACCCACGTCTGATTCTTCTTCTTCTTCATTCTTACGTGTTGATTCCGGAAGACAGGTGAAGGTGTGGCTACACTCCAGGAGTCTCAGTCGACAGAAAGAATAAAGTATGTATGTTTATATCTAATTCAGAAATGGCTCTGACCCAAGAGGCGATTTTAAACACACTATTAGAAGGCAGAGGAAAGCTGAAAAACTCAGAGCTGCTCAGCAAGTTTAAAGAGCAATTAAACTGCGGTGATCCGGCCGAGAAGAAGCAGAACCGAGATCTCTTCAAGGCGTGTGTGAACAACATTGCCTATGTGAAAGAATTCCAGGACACCAAGTATATAGTCCTGAGGAAAGTATACCATCACCTGCTAAAAGCCTCAAACGATGATAATGGAGATCCAGAGGAAGATGAGAAGGGAGAAAGTAAGAAGTCAGAGACTGAAGCTTCACAAGCACCGCTCTCTCCAATAGAAACTGCTCTGGGAAGATGTACGAATGTGGACTTTACACCGAAAAAGTCTTTAAATTTCACCGTTCCGCTGAAGTCTGATGACAAACACGGAGCGGAGAAGACGAACAAACCATGTGCACTTCCTTTACGAATCCCTCAAGCAAGCATCGGTCAGACTCACAGGAATCCCTCAGGAACGACGGACTCTGAGCGAGAACGTCAATGGAGGAGAACGACCACAGATGGAGGAGTTAGCGACTCTCCTAGACACTTCAAGACCCCTAAACCAGCGGATGAGCCGAAGGAGCAGTCGGAGCCGTTCCCGCTGGACCCCGCGGAGCACGAGTGGCTGGTGAAGTCCGCGGCGGGACAGTGGAGTCATGTGTACGGGCTTCTGCTGAAGGACGCTCAGCTCGCGGAGAAGAAGGACTTCACGTCCGGGTTCACGGCGTTACACTGGGCCGTCAAGAGTGGGAACACCGACATGGTCTGCAGGATTATTGAGGTTTCCAGGAGAAGCGGACACGGCGTGGACATCGACGCTAAGTCTAACGGCGGATACACTGCGCTACACATCGCCGTCATCCACACACACACGTCTCTGATCGGTCTACTGGTCCGCAAGTACGGAGCCAACGGGAATATACGGGACAACTGTGGGAAGAAGCCCTACCATTACCTGAGGAAAGAGGCTTCGGGAGAAGTGAGGGAGCTTCTGGGAGAGCCGAGGGCCGGCCAGCAGGAGGCGCCGGCGCCCAGAGAGGAGTGCGACCCGCACAAACACCCCAAAATCAGGCTTTTCCCAACTTATCCGGTCGGGATCAAGAAGAAGAGCAAGCCGAGATTCCAGCTGATGTCGATGGCAGAAGACGACAGAGCGGAGCGGGACGAGCCGGTGTCGCATAAACAGAGGCTCGCGACAGACGGCTATCCATAACTCAATACAGGTGAAACTGGAAAAATGAGAATATGGTGCAGACGTTCATTTATTTCAGTAATTCCACTTAAAAGGTGAAACTAATATATTATATAGACTCATTACATGCAAAGTGAGATATTTCCAGCCTTTATTTGTTATTTGATTATGGCTTATCGCTAAAACCTTTTCACAATATTCTAATTTTGAATTTGGGGTTTTCATAAGCTGTAAGCCATAATCATCAAAATTATAACAAATAAAGGCTTGAAATATCTCACTTTGCATGTAATGAGTCTATATAATATATTAGTTTCACCTTTTAAGTGGAATTACTGAAATAAATGAACTTTTGCACGATATTCTCATTTTTCCAGTTTCACCTGTATTCATGTCAATCAGGCTTTATACGGGAATTCTGTTCATTTAAATTCTATTTGACTCTTTTTTTATATTGCAAATTATAATTCAGTACAAAACGAAATAACACTTAACAATAAACATGTGGGGATATAGAGAAAAGGAAAAAGTTATAAAAAAAAGAAAAAGTTCTATAATAGAGGATGTTTTCAAAGCTATTTTTATTGGAGGGGATTTTATGAAGGGATGACAATAATAACTATAAATCATAAGCAAATACTTTGGAGTTAGGTTTGAATTTAAGGTATCTTGCTTTGTGAATATGGTATTTACACATCATACAAAAAAGTGTTTTTAAATTCTATTTTCACTATGAATGATTGATGCCATACACTACTATATATATATAAAAAATAAAAAAATTATTCAGCAAGAACACTAAATGCACACAATAAATAAATGCTGTTCCACAAAAAAAATAAACTGTTTTCAACATTGATAATAATCATAAATGTTTCTTGAGCAGCAAATCAGCATATGAATGATTTCTGAAGGATCATGTGACACTGAAGACTGGAGTAATGATGCGGAAAATTGTGTTTTAAAATAAATTCTTTCAAATAGAAAACATATTTCACAATATTACTGTTTTTACTGTATTCGTGATCAAATAAATGCAGCCTTGGTGAGCAGAAGACACTTCTTTTGAATATGCATCATATTATAGTGTAATATATATATATATATATATGATATACATATATATCCGAGCAATTTATCTTAGGGTGCAGGAGTGGAAAACAAACTTTATTGTTATTTTCTGACGGTTTATGTTGCGAAACATTCTTGTTTTAGGTGTTAAACACGTGTATATTAATATTTAATGCTGATCAACATGTCTATTATTCAGGATTTTTTGGGACCTTTATACAACACATTGGACCTTATCTTACAATAAATGCATTTTCTTATTCAAAATTGTAAATTATTATGCAAATAAACTTAATTTTGTGAACCTTTACTCAGTTTTGTGGTGTGTATCTGCGATGTTGTTTCGAGACTTGCTGAGGATGATGAAATAGCAAAGCAAACCAGTGCTAAACCAACATGATCTGACAAGATCAGAACTGACCAGTTTAGCTTACAGCTGCATCTCTAGATGTTCCCATGATGCATCAGTGTTGCTCTCGACCCTCTGGCCTCGAGGCCGAGCACGTGCTCCTCCATCTGTGTTCATTAGAGAAGCGAGATGCCTTCAGACACGCGTGTGCATGATTCGGCATGAGTGACAGGCCTTTATGTGTTTCATAACATTGGTGTTTTGCTAAGAGCTTATGAAGATCACTATAGAAAATACAAGATTGACGTGACATTAATGGAGAAGTTGCATCATATTCATTTAACCCCCAAGTGTTTTTGCATTGTGACATTATTTACATGATAGTTACATGACATCTCCCCCTAAATGTATCATGAAAAGGCATAAATAGGCTAAAAATATATATATATATATATATATATACACATAAACTTATTATATGGCCCAGCGATTTACCCATTTGAATTTTTAGGCTAAACTTCAAACACATCACATTTTTATTATTCATGTTTTTTTGACAATTAATGTTATTTCAAAGCATTTTTTTTTTTTTTTTTTACAGATAATTGCATCTTAATTCCTGACCTAATCTGACTAGTTGTAATGAAACAAACACTAATGATGTACAGTGAGAAAACTTTATTCACATTAAACCAAAAGTAATAGAATTCATGCATCCCACATAAACACAAAACCACAAGATGGCGGCAAAACTGATGAAGTCACATTCACAGCACACTACACAAATGCTCATTTACAGTCTCGTTTCATAATCCACATCCAGGAAAACTCGCTATATTCCAGATGAAGTGGAGATGTTTGTACAAGTGACAGGATAGTTTCATGTTGTCGCTTGTCGCTATGGAAAACAAGGGCTTTCACGTGTGACTTCAGGCCATATTTACATGAACACTGGGCGGAAAGACCAGGGATCCCCCTCGGCAAATGACAAAACAAACTTTCACTTGTTTAACCAACCGAGAAGCCAAATGTTCATGTATTCCACAAGAAAAACTAATGAAAATGAGAGAAAACATTTCTGAGAGTTCAACTTCCTTGACAACTTGCAATTTAAAGCACGGAATGACTGTAAAATACACAACACACACTGATATGCTTTTGCAACGTGAACGTATCAACAGTACACTTGTACTATAATGGACAGAAGTAATATTCTCACAAGTAAATCCACAAACAGTTTGTTTTTGTCTGGTAGATTCAGCGATCACTGGCCAGTTCATTTGCTGTTTCCATGGATGCAATACGCGCTGTTTCCCGCCAACGGGGGTGTCGAAATACTATTGGGTAAAACGGCAGTGGGCGGGGTCACACAGATCAAAACAAGAACAGACATTCCGCTACGGAACGCTCATTCCAGCGATGTTAAAATAGCGTGTTTCCTAAACATCTGCAAACATATTTCAGTATTTTTATGGTGTAGTAGTAAAATAAAAAACATACAGCACCTTTAACATATAAAAACGTTTTTTTTTTTTTTTTTTGTGGTTATGCAATCGTTATGGGAACGTTACGTTTGAATGTTCTCTGAACAAATTAATAATGTGCTTATGTTTTGAGAATGTTATTAAAGACCAGATAACTTTAACATTGAATATTTAATACATCAGGAAACCTGGTTCAAATCAATCCATTCAATATGGAAGTTTGTTTCTGCCACAGAATAAAAAAGAAAAAAGGTAATTCTGACTTTTTATCTCAGAATTGCGTGATATAAAGTCGCAATTGCGTGTTATAAAGTTAGAATTGTGAGATGTAAACTAGCAATTCTGAGGAAAAAAGTCAGTCTTGCGAGTTTATTTCTCGCTATTGTGAGTTTATAACACAATTCTGACTTTATTTCTCGCAATTGTGAGATAAAAAGTCACAATTATTAAAAAAAAAATTTTATTCTGTGGCGGAAAGAATCTTCCATAATTCAAAGTGCTGATGATATTTAAACTTTGTTCTGTAGATCATTTTTGTAAAGTTTTAAAAATAAATTGTAAGAATTTTTTACATGCTGTATTGTGATTCCTGTTTTACCCATCAACTTTTCATATTACTTACATTGTTTCCTATATTTCACTGTCATTTAACCTAAAACTTTGTAAGTATGTTATTTCCAACAGGAAAAGCAAATCTAGTTCCAATTATTAATATTAATAATGAAAGTAACCATAAATGCACACTGGTTTTTTATCATATTGCTGTTGTTGCTGGTTTATAAAAGCAATTTACTCGTGGCAGAACATTACAGTGATTTTATCATGGTTTTACAGCTGGTAAAATCACTGTAACACACATTTACACACACTTGTGTTGTGTACACACTTCTTGGCCTCACTGAAAATGTTGCTCACATGTTTGTGTCAGTGACTCAGTCATTTCTTTAGCTCAAACAGCAGAACACAAGATCATGGGTCACTGGATAATATGCATAAATGTCAAATGCAAGGGTATTACAAAGATGTCGACTAATGCTGAATATACATGCAGTTAAATAATACAGACTTCAATCATTTCAAACACACTCAATCATTACACACATTCAACATGACAGTGCCAAATGAAATTACAGGACAAAATGAATGGGAAAGAATGAAAAGTTACACTACGCTGCAGCATCAAAGCAACAATGAAGTCCTGAAATTAATTATGAATACACAATATGAGCATGTGCAGCTTATTTTACAAAAGTGCTTGTTTCTTCCTTTTTTTTGGTCGTCATTTTAGAGCGATGTCACACACGCCTGAAAGGACACATTCCTGGGCTCTTAAATAAAGCTTTTCATGGTTTTCGAAAGTCAACTTGATACGACCTGCAGAGGAACACAACTACACGAGGGGCTTTCGCACCGGATAGTTCTAGGAACGAGCCGCCAGGATGGAGACCCGAGAACTAATGATTCCCGTAGGAACGTTTTCCTGGTTGCGTTCGCAGCGCTAGCATGAACTCTGAGTGACGTGAGACACGCTCGTTGTTGAGACTTTTATTTAGACGTCGCTGAGAACGGCAGTGCTCGCATTCTCCGTGTTCATTAGTGTACGATCTGTCTAATACGTTATCAGATAAAGCTGTTATACACAAAGTCGACCTAATGAAGAGTTATTAGCGTGTGTGTGTGGCCGATCCTCGCTAGCTGAGCAGAAACACATAATCATGTTTCTCTCGGTCTCCTCAAAGTCACGTTGGGTTTTCTCCTCAGTGTAAAGGTTGAGAGGCTCATCTATCAGTGTTTTACATGTTCGTAGAGTTAGTTTCTGGAGTAAATATATAGGCTATAATCTGTGTGTTTTTAAAAATGGCGTGTTCTGGTGTTTCGCGGCCAATCAGCGAACACTGACGTCACGGACAGTTCCTATAGCGCTGGTCTAGGCCGACTCTAGGGTAGGGAGGTTAGGGTTAGATTAGTTATTAGCTAAATTAGTTCCTCCAAAAGGAGTTCCTAGAACTGAAATCGTTCCCAGTTCCTGCGGTGCGAACGCGCCAAACTCTGGGAACTTCCGCCAATAGTTACGGTTCCTCCGGTGCGAAAGCCTCTATGGTGTTTCAAAGCATTACCAGTCTCAGGAAAACACATGAAAAGGCAGATGTCTGGAGTTGTTCTCATGGAGCTGGGATAGTGCTGAGCAAGGCCTCGAGCTGCTCCTCTCCTAAACGCTGCTTCTCCTCCAGGTCTTTCTGGCGGATGAGTAAGGAGGCTGTGGTCTGAATGAAGAGCCGGTACTCCTGCATCTGTGTGTCCGTCAGGTGCTTGGACAGAAAGCTGGAGACCAGGCGCTCCCGACGGTCCAGGTTGTCCTTCAGGTCTTTGGCGTCCTCCCTCTGTTTGCACAGGAGACGGTAGCGGTTGTCCAGCGATTGCTGTGGATCGAGGAAAGGCAGGATTATTTTATGAGTACGTCACAATTCGGCACGTTTGTCATTAGTCGACGCACACAGGATATTTCTGAAGAAAATTTTTAGAAAAAAAAAAAAATGTAAATCTGATCTCTTGAGGGGAAAAAAATGACAATAAATGGCCTTAAAGCTCTAATTGACCCTTCGCAGGGAGTTTGATTGACAGGCGATCTGACCAATCATAATCCACCATTTTTGTCCGACAAAGCATTCAGGAGAGTTAGTTGATTAACGTTGGAGGATTTGAACTTGAGAAACGGTGTGTACTGACGTCTTTCCGCGGTTAAAACAACATTCCTTCTGATGTTCATTCATCTTTATTTGATCCCTCTCCCCTTCCGGTCGACCACCATGGGACCTTATTTCGGAAAAATATTGTATGGTAGTCAATGGCGAGAGACAACAAATATTTTGATCTGGTTTGAATTGTGCCCTGAATTACACATATGATGTTTGTCAATTTAAAAGATACATTTTAAAGTCAAGAAAGTCGCAGTTTGATGTAAAACTGTAAGACTGTAAAAATACGTAATTACAAAGACTACAAACCCCAAAGGTGCACATTTTCTCTCAATGAAGGAAGCTAACTTTACTGAAGCTAACTTTACTGAAGCTAACTTTACTGATGCTAACTTTACTGAAGCTAACTTTACGGAAGCTAACTTTACTGAAGCTAACTTTACTGAAGCTGACTTTACTGAAGCTGACTTTACTGAAGCTGACTTTACTGATGCTAACTTTACTGAAGCTAACTTTACTGAAGCTATCCTTACTGAAGCTAACTTTACTGAAGCTACGGTAACTTTACTGAAGCTACGGTAACTTTACTGAAGCTAACTTTACTGAAGCTAACTTTACTGAAGCTAATTTACTGAAGCTAACTTTACTGAAGCTACGGTAACTTTACTGATGCTAACTTTACTGAAGCTAACTTTACTGAAGCTAACTTTACTGAAGCTACGGTAACTTTACTGAAGCTAACTTTACTGAAGCTACGGTAACTTTACTGAAGCTAACTTTACTGAAGCTACGGTAACTTTACTGAAGCTAACTTTACTGAAGCTACGGTAACTTTACTGAAGCTAACTTTACTGAAGCTACGGTAACTTTACTGAAGCTAACTTTACTGAAGCTAACTTTACTGAAGCTAACTTTACTGAAGCTAACTTTACTGAAGCTACGGTAACTTTACTGAAGCTAACTTTACTGAAGCTACGGTAACTTTCCTGAAGCTAACTTTACTGAAGCTAACTTTCCTGAAGCTAACTTTACTGAAGCTAACTTTACTGAAGCTACGGTAACTTTACTGAAGCTAACTTTACTGAAGCTACGGTAACTTTCCTGAAGCTAACTTTACTGAAGCTAACTTTACTGAAGCTACGGATAACTTTACTGAAGCTACGGTAACTTTACTGAAGCTAACTTTACTGAAGCTAACTTTACTGAAGCTACGGTAACTTTACTGAAGCTAACTTTACTGAAGCTACGGTAACTTTCCTGAAGCTAACTTTACTGAAGCTAACTTTACTGAAGCTACGGTAACTTTACTGAAGCTGACTTTACTGAAGCTAACTTTACTGAAGTGTTTTGCACCAGACTGCACACACACCAGCAGCGGATCTCGCTCGTTGTTTCTCTTCCCGGGAGATGTAGTTCATTGAGCGATTTTCACATAAAACTAAATGTTACTCTTCTGTTTTATGACAAACTGCGACTTTCTTGACTTTCATTCTTATCTTTTAAATTGACAAACATCACATGTGTAATTCAGGGCACAGTTCAGACCGAATAACGAGATAAGTTGTCTCTCGCCATTGACTACCATAATATATTTTTTCCGAAATAAGGTCCCATGAGCCGGAAGCAGAGGGGAGGGGCTTACGCTCTCTATAGGCTAAATGAACTAGAAGGAAGAGATGATCGGTTCACGAGCAGCTTTAACTGAGGCTCTAGCGATCTGTCAGACAATAAACAGCCACAAAACAGTATTTATTGTTTAAATTTCTTTAAAAAATGACCAAATTTGAAAGTTGAGATTTCATATTAAAAGTAAGCTGGTCTGTCAGTGTCCTCCGCTCCGCGATGTGTGTTTCACTGCGTGAGAACATGGTGTGTGTGAGAGAGACGTGGCTTGTCGGTCATAGCAACAGTAACTAAAGGGGGCGGGTCTTTGCAAAACGGTCAATTATACTTAAAGGAGAACTCTGGTGCAAAATGAACCTCGGGTGTAATAACACATTGGTACAGACTAAATCGTTCCCTGAGATTTGTTTTCATGATAATCGAATGTAAAGAGTTTTATCTCTAAAAACAGTTTAGCTTATAACGCTAGTATATTGGGCATCGAGTAAGCAAAAAGAGATCGCTAGTTAATACCATTAACAAGGCTCAAATTAGCCCCACTCTAACACGTTAGCATAATGAGTGTCCTTACATGCAAACCGAAGCATTGAGAACTTTGTAAGTGTATAGACAGTTTAATAAGAAGATACTTTACACAGACAGTACAGCTAGCGCATACAGACAGCAGCCATCTTGGAAAACAGTCTCGATCAGTCGAACCACGAAGGTGAGCGAACAGTACGTGTAGATATTGAAGATAAGATAAATTATATTTATTTTTTTATTTTCTCTGTTGCGTTCAGTGCTTCTCTTATGCGCTCAGTGCTTTCTTCCGGAAACAACGGACCATATGAGATTCCAAGTCACAGTTCAGCTCACGTATCACCGTGTTCGTGGTTTGATTGATCGAGACTGTTTTCCAAGATGGCTGCTGTCTGTATGCGCTAGCTGTACTGTCTGTGTAAAGTATCTTCTTATTAAACTGTCTATACACTTACAAAGTTCTCAATGCTTCGGTTTGCATGTAAGGACACTCATTATGCTAACGTGTTAGTGTGGGGCTAATTTGAGCCTTGTTAATGGTATTAACTAGCGATCTCTTTTTGCTTACTCGATGCCCAATATACTAGCGTTATAAGCTAAACTGTTTTTAGAGATAAAACTCTTTATATTCGATTATCATGAAAACAAATCTCAGGGAACGATTTAGTCTGTACCAATGTGTTATTACACCCGAGGTTCATTTTGCACCGGAGTTCTCCTTTAAGCTTGTTTCAGCCGTGGAATAAAAAAATATAAAAAAGGTAATTGCAACTTTTTATGTTAGGATATTTCTGAAGAACATCTTTTAGGAAAAAACTGTAAATCTGATCTTTTAGAAAGTCTTTCACAACTCGTGTCCATGAAACACATTCCATGTCCATGCATTAATATATAAATAAAAAATAAAAAAGGTAATTGCAACTTTTTATCTCTTTATCAATTCTGAGTTTTTTTCTTCGCAACGGCAAGATTGTGATTATAAATACAAAGCTACAATTTGCTAAATTTACAAAGCCCCTTTTACACAGAGATTCCGGAACATACACGGATAAAGTGATGTTCGTTTGATACTGGTTCATTCACACTGCCAGTGATTTTCCGGAATCAAATGATCAAATGTTCATCGTCTCGAGTTTCTTCCGGGAATGAACCCGTCACAATATTCCTCATTATAATAATTCATACGCAGAATAAAGGGGCGGGGCCTGCGAACATTTCCCAAACACGCTCGAAGCGCTCGACCAATCACAACACACTGCTCCAGCCGACCAATCAGAGCACAGTGTGCTTTTCAGAAGGCGGGGATTCATAGAGACGGGAAGTAAACAGAGCGTTACTGACAGACTGGGAAGAGAGGAGCCGCAACAATGGAGAATATGAGGAGAATAATCAACATTCAAGCAGGAAAACATGTTATTAACTGTGAGAATCGGGAATTCACACACAACCCGTAAATTTTGACATGTAATGTCTTAAGTTTGCTTATGAGCTGCGATTTTTCTCTCGAGAAACCACGCTTGTGCTTTTCTTTCTCTGATTTGATCATAAACTAGCGCATTACGTGCCGTTTCACTAGCTGGCGAATGATCCCGGCTTCAGCGTCATCAACGCGCTGTGTGAAAGGGGCTTAACAGTATGCATTGCCAATGAAACCTGTCACTAGCAGTGAAGTTTGTGCTTTACATCAAGGACCAGAATAAAAACAAGTTTTTAACCTAATTGTGTTATCCTTGACAAATGAGCGTGTTTCAGCACATTCTTGTCTAATAAATCAAATCAAAATCGCAAAGTGCAATCGCAAAACTCATGGAAACTGATAAAGACTGGTTTCGGTCAGGCAGTGTTGACACCATCAACATCTGATCCGGCAGAACCAGTCAATCTTAAAGCCAGATCTAAAAAAAATAAGTGTTTCCCAGCACTCAACCTTTCGTGTGTGTTTAGGGCCCCTCCTAGCTATCTACACACAGTGTGTAATGTCGCTGTTTGAGCACAAACAACATCTGCAAAGTTACTACGCTCAAAGTTCAAAGCAAAGGGAGAGATTTGCTTTTACAGAAATCGCTTTTTAAGGACTACAACAACGGCTGGTAGAACTACACAAGCTTCTTCACGGGTTAGTGACATCACTAACCCTAACATTTACATAAACCCCGCCCCCAAACACGATTTATAGATTACCATGACAGAATATGCTAATCAATGACTAGAAGATAATGAGATGTAAGCTACATACATTCATCAACTATCCATTCAGAAATGTTGTCACTTCTTCTTGAGTCTCTCCATCTTTGTCTGACTCCGGTTTGAACATAAAAGGCTAAAAGTTGTGTGTGTGTGAGGTACTTGAAGCTGCTAAGAACGAGCTCTTGTAGCTCCGCCCCCTGTGCCGGAAGCAGCAGCTCATTTGCATTTAAAGGGACACACACACAAAAACGGTGCGATTTTGCTCACCCTCAAAAAGTGACAATTTTAACATGCTATATAAACATATCTGTGGGGTATTTTGAGCTAAAACTTCACATACACACTCTGGGGACATCAGAGACTTATTTTACATCTGTAACCTTTACGTGTGTAATGAACTCACCTTCTCCTCGGTGTCCATGTTGTCGTCCGCAGCGCTGAGGGCGTTCTCCACGCGGGCCAGACGAGCCGACAGGCAGAGAAGAAGACTCACCACCCGCTCCAGGTCTCCTATAAACTGTGTGTATCGCTCGAGCTCGGCTGGCACACAGCTCTCCCGCACCAGAGCCTCCATAGCCTCGCCACACACACCGTTCGCCTTCGCCTCGCCCTGGACGCCGGACCGGACCTCCTCCACACACTTCAAACGCTCCTCTATACGCGCTATCAGCCATCTCTATACGGGAGAGGAACCATAGACAACACATGCTTATTTGTAATTATAACTAGGCAGGGTTTGAAATTAGCACGTTAACATTAACATTCACACTGTCAAATCATTAGCCAATTTGGCGTGATACTTAGGCTACGTTTACACGACAATGATATGCTTAAAATGGAGACGTTTTTCCTTTGAGTTTTCCACGTACAGACATTGTCAAAACGATCCCCATTCACACGGATCCGCGAAAGTGACTAAAAACGCTGTATTCTGCGGCCAGGCCAGTAGATGGCGATGAAACACTATAGACTGAACACGCAATACATGTGCATGACGTCATCGTCTTCACAGATTCACGTTTTTGTTGTTTATACGGAGACCGTTTTCAAAACGTAGCATTTTCAGGCACCCAATACGCCGCTGTCGTGTAAACGAACGGCCAAAAAGCATAAAATGTTTTACGTTTTTAGGTGAAAACGGTGTCGTGTAAACAGCCCCTCACTGCGTTTACTCACTTTGCTGGAAGTTCGTGTAAGACAAATCTGCACAGATTTAGAGCACATACTCGTAAGTCATGATATATTAAATACAGCGTATTGCAGAATCTGCTCATATCTGGCTTACTTGAACACACACACACACACACGTCACTACACAACAAATAATGGCATGATTGTTCATTTACATTGAAGCAATACATCCTACATTTTTTGATGTTCTTTGTACTCTATTGATCTGTCCTCCTAAAACACATTTTGGTGAAAAGTATGAGGATGAAAGAGGAAGTGAGGAGATGCTGGACGACTGGATTTTGTTTGAATGAAAAATTAATGCATGAAATACAAATTTTATAATATATATATACACTACCGTTCAAAAGTTTGGGGTCGGTACGATTTTAAATACTTTTAAAAGAATTCTCTTCTGCTAACCATGGCTGCGCTTATTTGATTAAAAATACAACAAAAATAAGTTATAGTATTAAATATTATTCCAGTGTAAATCAGCTGTTTTCTGTGTGAATATATAGTAAAGTGTAATTTATTCCTGTGATCAAAGCTGAATTTTCAGCATCACCAGTGTCAGTGTCTTCAGTGTCACATGATCCTTCACAAATCAGTATAATATGAGGATTTGATGCTCAAGAAACATTTATTATTATTATCAATGTTGAAACAGTTGTTGGTCTGTCAGTTGTACAGTTTTTCTTCTTTTTTTTAGGATTCTTTGATGAATAGGAAGTTCAAAAGAACAGCATTTGTTTGAACTAGAATCTTTTGTAACATTATAAATGTCTTTACTGTCCTTGATAAATAAAAGTGTTGATTTCTTTCCTCCAAAAAATAAAAATAAAATTCTCACTGACCCCAAACTTTTGAACGGTAGTGTATATTAGGGCTGTGTATCACCAACAATGTCACGATACGATACGCATCACGATACTAAAGCCACGATACGATACGTATCACGATATGGATCAATTTGGAATTTAAATTTCTTTTGAGCAGAGTAATATCTTTATTGAATAAACAGTGTTATAACAGTTGTGATAACTGAAAAACTATTTAGTTTTTGTCATTAAAAAACAATGAGAGTTCAATTAAATAAGTGTTGGAATGTGCACCAAACAAAGTAATTTCTTTACATTACGTTGAAATCATTTTAAACAAATAAATACAATAGAATAAAGATAGCCTACCAATAAAGAGAAATTTTTTTGAATAGGTCTAGCACTAGTATTCAGAAATACTACAGAAACTTAAAGTAATTAAATGTACAATAACATTGGGTAGTATTTTAGTCCTGACTAAATTAAATACATTGGCTATAAATCCAGGTTCCTTATAATTAAAGCTATCTTTTTTTGTTTTGACGACAATATTAATGACAGACACACATGGCTGCCGTCACTTTAAGAGCTAGTGCACGGATCCTGTGTTCATTATGCTGTCACATGCATTAACCGACTGTGTTGGATACTCACCAAGACTGACATTTTTGACATCAATTTGCTTGTTTTTGTCCGTAAAAGCGATATAATCCGTGAAAAATAACTTTTGTTACTCACAGGCTGTTTGTGAGGCGGCTTTTCTCTATGTATGCATGCAGAGAAAACCATCTCTCAGAGAGCGTGCGAGCACTGAATAGTTTAAAATCGCTTGAATGTTTTGCGTGGTAAGACTTAAAAAGACGAGCGAATGGTAAACTTAAGTGACAATGCAATACTGGCCCGAATATGCAAGTGAATATTCCGTCATGTCCCAACTCCCGAAAGCGAGAGTGTATCGCCGCCTTCAGCGCGTTTGACGCTTGCCTTGAGCAACCCATTTTGAGATAGAGACAGAAGACGCGGCACAGCTGAACACTCACGCTGTTTGTGAAATTGTGTCTTTCAGAATGTTTTAAAATGACTAATTCGATGTTATATCGAATATATATGGTTAGAATAATGCGTAATACTCGCAATCCCGTGCTGAAATTCGAGCCCTGAATTGGCTACATTCAAAAGCATGACAGTATCGATACAGCAGTTGCTGTATCAATACGCGCATCGTCAGGAGTTCATGACGATGTATCGTCGTATCGATATTTTGAGCACAGCCCTAGTGTATATACACACATTTCTTTTTTTTTCTTGGCTAGTAGAAGTTCTTATGGAAGCTTGTTTCCGCCACTGAATAAAAAAAAAAATTGGGACTTTTTATCTCAATATTGCGAGATATGAAGTTAGAATTGTGAGAAATAAAGTCGCAATTCTGAGAAATAAAGTCGCAATTTTAAGAAAAAAAGACAGAATTGAGAGACTTTTTATCTCACAATTGCGAGTTTTACATCTCGCAATTCTGACTTTATAACACATAATTGCGAGTTTCTGACATCTTTTCTCAGAATTGTGAGATATAAACTCGCAATTGCGAGTTATCAGGCCGACTCGAAGGAAAAAAAAGACTAACTTTTCTCCCCTCAGAATAGTTTATATCTCACAATTCTGACTTTACAACACGCAATTCTGAGAAATAAAGTCAGAATTGTGAGATAAAAAGTCGCAATTACCTTTTTATTTTTCATTCTGTGGCGGAAACAAGCTTCCATAAGTTCTTAATAGCGGTAGCTTAAAGATGTTGCACCCAAATTGGTCGGTGTGTGAAAAAGTTATTTTCAAACCCTGATTATAGGATACTAAATACTAATTTACTATCCACATTTTCTCCACAGACAAAACACCGTTATAAACCTTTCCTGACCGACCCTGAATGGCGATGGTTTGGCTAGATAAGACAGTTTAGATAAGATGATATTAACTAACATTAACAAAAATTAATAAATACTGTAACAAATGTATTGATCATTGTTAGGTCATGTTAGTTAAAACATTAACTAATGTTAACTAACGAACCTTATTGTAAAGTGTTACCATTATTGCTTTAGTCTGACTGAAAAGAGTTAGTCGTTTGCAAGAAGTTTGTAGTTTGGACATGGATCTTGCACAGCATCACCAACATCATTCTATATAACATTATTATACTTTTCAGTACCTTCTTCTCGATGATATCCATTTCTGTGTTGCACAGCTCTTCTTTTTGGTTTGAGAGAACGGACTCATTGTTCACAGATGACGGAAGGATCCACGGTTTGGCACGAACTGGCGTCTCAGTGCTTTAAAAACAAAATCAAAAATGCAGTGAAAATACAAATGAAAGCCATGTAGAATAGGCAGTTTTGGAGCCATTTATTTATAACCTAGAAAAGGACAAGATGCTTTAATTAAAGCCTTTCTATATAATGCATTATAAAAGTGTATTAATGCATTATATGATTACATGAATAATTGTAACCACATATTATAATACATTATAATGAGGGCTTGACATTAACTTTTTTGCTCACCAGACACTGTGGCGAGTGGTTTTCCAAAGTTACAGTCACTCAGCATTTTCATTGGACACAATTTTGACATCAATACCATGGGGGAAACTGCCATATTAGATATTTTTAATATTATCTCATAATTTGGCAGCGGGTTTATTAGGCTACTGTCACTTTAAGACCTGACGCACGGATCCGTTATACTGTCACACATGCGTTTCTTTCTCAACGGTTTACGTTCACTTAAAACATGACTGTGTTTATGTGAATACTCGCCAGGACAGGCATTTTGACATTATTTTGTGTGTATTTGACTGTTTAAGCGCAGTAAGCAGCGAAAAATAACTCAATTAGTGCTGAGAGGCGGCTTTATGAGCGCTGACTTTGGGTTTGAGAACAAAATCTGTGGAATGAGTACAATTATGCGTAACATAATTGTAACATAACCCTGAAACAGCACCAATATTCATCCAGAGCGAATGAAACGAGTGAGTGAATGGAGGCGGGTTTGAGTGTCACTCGCTGTCAGAGAGAGAGAGAGAGAGAGAGAGAGAGAGAGAGAGAAGCTGGTGTCTATCTATTCTGTGGATAATGAGTATTGGAAGCATTTCAGATATTTCAGTATCGTTATGTATCAAAAAAGTTGATATTTTGACAACACTGCATTGCACTTAGTTTAATATTTCAGATGCCTTTTTAAAAGACTACAATTGAAAAATGTATATCATATAAAATTCGACCAGCCAAAGTGGCTAGTAGGAGCGACTGCGTCACACGGCACTGCGTCAAGCCCTGGTTATAACACTTCTCCATCCTTTAGAAAGTATAAAGCATTATTTAAAACACAGGACAAACAACCCATTTCAAATGTAACAAGGAATCTGCAAATATTATAATGCATTTTAACTTTGGTTACAGTTATTTATGAAAAGATATAAAGCATTATAATCTAGATTATGAATACCTTTATAATGTATTCTGCATAATGGCTTTAAGTAAAGTGTGTATGTGTGCAGTAGTCACCTGTGCGCAGCTGTTTCTGGGTTATTAACCGCCTGCCCCTGTTTTTTCTTGTAGTGCTCCTCCATTAGAAGATTATCTTCAGATAACAGCTGCTCCATCAGCATGAGTGCTGTCTTCCTATTGGTTATAGGGTAAAGGGTGCGAGCTAATGATTGGTCAGCTGAGACCACTTCCTGAACAAGCACCTCCCACTTGAGTTTGTCCCTGTTTTCAATCACAAGAGGGCCGTCTTCCTCCTTTATATTCCGGTCTTGTTCCCCGTTAAGTGCAGGTGCCAGGCTGGACTCTTGAATGCCAGGTGGTGTTGTGATGGGTATGGTTTCAGTCGCACCATACGGGTCAGGTGGTGCGTTTTGGGGTTCAGGAAACCTTGGCGTTTCAGGAGATGAACACTTTGCCTCAGAAGTCGAGGTCCATAGACTAGGATCTGTTCTGACTCCATGAAGGAGAGGAACCTCTTGACTGGAGACTGATGATTTACTCTTATCTGGAGAAAAATCCTCCTGCTCCTTGCTGTAATATATCAAAATAAACGTACATTATAACAATGCCTTCAAATAACTAGATATTTACATTTTAAAGTCACCATGAAATCAAAAAGGACAATTAGGGCTGCACAATTAATCAAATTTTAATCACGCGTGATCGAGCGATATTTAAAATGCGTCAATCCGTTCACAGAACAAAGTCCGTAGCAAAGTTTTTTGTTTTGCAAAGCCAATCTACGCTCCGTAAACCACTGTCTGATCATGTGCCTCCATGAGCCAATCAGAGTTGTTCCCTGCACCGCGCAGCTTAGTTTCTAGATGTAGACTATGACCCCTGGCGCCGGACTGGACAAAAGCGAAGTGAACTGCGCGTGAGAGACTGAGTGTGTGCGAGCATTAGTAAATTGAATTAGTAAATTGATACATACTACATAGTGATATATAAGAGGCATGGAAGTTTGATTAATGGACTCCAATAATCAGTACTACAAACGTCTTGTTTTGAACTATTGTTTAATAAATAGAAATAATTCGAGCACATAAACTTTCATATGGAGGATAAAATAAGATTCAATTTTGCAGTAAGACTTCACAACTAATCACTGACACTGTACCACAACATTTTACATTTCTTAAGCGTCATAATAACAATGACCCTGAATTTCATCCATTAATCGAACTTCCACAGTGCAGTTCTGCCTTGACATGTTCTCATTTGGTTACATTCGGTTAAGGAATATTAGTTTTTTATTGATTGTATATTTTGAGTTTTATTCACATCCATTATGCAGGTACAGTACAAAGCAAGTTTATATTTTGCTTCCTAAAATATATTTACACAATGTAAAATGGAAAATAGTGCCCTGTTGAAGTTTTGCTACATTTTCTTTATTGTTTTATTTATTTATATTTATTCTTTAAGGAGATGCACTGAGTTTTGGTGAATAAGAGGACCTGTTTTATGTTGATGCACATAGTTGTACATTAGCAGGAATGTAGCACGATATGGATGTGAAAGCAGTTATAATTAGCCTATGTGACAATAACATTTGTTTTGGTTAAAAGCAACAACTAATCGTGATCTCAATATTGATCAAAATAATCGTGATTATCATTTTGGCCATAGTCGTGCAGCCCTAAGGACAATTCTTATTTTTTACAGAATGTTGCAGTGTTTATTCTAAATAATTTATCAGTGCAATTTTTTTTTTAAATTCATATGCCCTTGTAATCTTTAATCAAAAACATTAACCTTAATACCCTCCATAACTGACTGGCATTCAGATCTGCCTCATTTAGTTAGCAACGGCCATACAATCCAAGAAGAAAGGGAAGAAAAGACTATTGTAACTTTGGTTTCATGCCGACTTTAAAGAAAACGTAAGTCGTGTTTGCTCTAGTCTTGCGTAGCCAGACCTTCAGTCTGACGGCAGCTTTCATTGGCCAAGCACCGCCCAGAGCCGTCTGATTGACATGTAAAGCAACCAATCGCAGTTCGGTTTGTTCCGCGTCATGTTTAGGGGCATGAAAATGTAAAGTCGATGTCCCTACAATAACAGACCGGTATGTAAAACTCTTGGACGTATTTTAAAGAGTCTATGGCGCAAACTTTACATACTTCTGAAAACCCAGTGTTTAGTTGATCCTGATTGCCTAGATAAAGATATAAACATATAAACTCCTGAAGCATTTCCAGTTTTGTGTGCCGTATGCATTAGACGTTCAGCCAACGGTCCGTAAACATGACGTCTGAGGCAAACTCTCTGCAACAATGCTGACTATGGGTAGTTTCACACTGAGCTTAACCCCGGGTTATCGTCTGTTTTAAACCCTTCTTTTAATAATGGGTAGAGTGATGTTTTACTCTTGTACTTTTGAAAGGGCTAAGCCACCACTTTTAACCCTTGGTTATGAAATAACTCGGTTAAAGCTGTATTGTGATGCCCAAAATTTACAGTGTGAAAGATGCAGCATTGGCATTTAATGGCCAGCTGTTTAGCAACAAACAACTGAACAAAACTAAACAATTTGCCTCATTAAATATTCATGCACTACAGCACAGGCGTAACTATCGGTAAGCAGGGTACGTGGTTGCTTACGGGCCCGGACCAATCAGGGGCCCGCGCGTGACTGGAAGATATTGATTGACAGCCGGGCCCCCTAACGCATTTTACTACGTTCAGTCTGATCGCATTTTACTTTATCGCGAATTTATTTGAATAAATAATGACAACAACATAGTGTAGGCTACTGATCATTAGATACAAGTATGAAAAGACCAATGATGGATTTTGGTGTAATTTGTTTCGAATTGGGACTGGGGAATCCCCGGGTTGGTAAGTGAACATGCGTATTGCGTGCAAAACAGTAAAAACGATGAACTTGAGACAGACAATATCGACAGGCTACTCCTGATTTTGTCAGTCATCTCATCTCTTATATGCTGTGTCTCTATGATCATATTAGCCGCTTTCCGACCAAGTAGTTACAGGAACTTAGTTATAGGAACTGTCCACTTCTAAACAGTTCTAAGAACTACTCTCCCCCAAACTCGGTTTTGCTGTTTGCGTTCGCACTGGCCAAGTGGCCATAGGAACTGGTAGGAGGGGTAAGGGAGTGACGCAAGCACGGCGGCGGCGGCGCCACATACAACAACAACAAACCAGCATGGAGGAGGCTATCCGAATGTTCCTGTTCTGCCTTGCCAGGAGCTTAATAACGAGTACGAACGGCGGCGTTTAAAGACTATGCTTGAGTTCTGTACAGAGAAACAAAGAAGACGAAGGCTCCAGCGTAATATGATCTTAAGTAATATAATGGAAGAAGATAGAAGAGCAGAGCGCAGGAGACAAACAAAACGACGGGTAAGTTTAGCAAGCATAGCAATTAGCTGGTTGAATGCGTTATGTTATGAGTTAGCATAGCATACATAGGCGAATTGCAACAGAGTGAATAAAATGTGTTGACACTGGGCGTGACTTATAAGTTGAACCAATCAACGTAGACCAAGGGAAAGGGAACTAAAAAAGTCCTCGCTCTACTGAAAGAGTTATAGGAACTACGGTCTGAGGAACTAAAAAATCCCCAACTTAGTCCGGTCGGAACACGCGAAAAAAAAGGTTATAGGAACGTTAGGTTCTAGGAACTGCAAAAGTCCCTCCGGTCGGAAAGCGGCTATTGTCCTATTCATGGTAGCCTACTCGTGGACATTGCGTCATCACGTGCTGTAGGGGGGCCCGTCTTGATAATCCTGCATAAGGGCCCGGTGTTGGCTCGAAACTTTCTCTAAACACCAGTTTCTCCATTCGTCTAATGACTTCTGATGCACAAGAGTGAAACAAAATGTTTTTTAAACAGGTTGTCTGTTATGATGATATCGACATGCAAATAAGAACATTAGCCCGGGATTTACGAATGCACAAACCTTGAAACATTAATACCCAGGATAAATTCATAACCCAGGGGAAAGATTGAACAGTGTAAAAACTGGAAATATACTTTGGAAACGTTTTTGAGTGTCTGTAGCAGAAACATGTAAGACGACCCTCAGACCAAAATGTATTACTTAAAGTCGCGTGAACGGGGAGTTGCGACTGACTTTACCTCAGTATTGTGACGTATTTCTGAGTGAAACTGAATATTGAATGAGAAAAACAAAGGGCGTGGCTTGTTTTTTCCCGCCCGGAAATTGATTGGCTCTTGTAAAGTAGGCGTTCAGAAATGGAGACGTATCCGAGCGCATGTTTACAATGAGCCCAAGCCGTCAAATTGACGTCAATAGAGAAGGAACGCCATTCCAGAGGGGAAGTGCATTTTCTGATTTTGATTAAAGATTACAATACTTTTTTATTTTTTTGTAATTGACTTGCATTGATGAATTGTTCACCACAAGACTAGCAATCTGCGCTAACATAGTCAATATGATAACCAATGGCGCTTTTCCACTGCATGGTACGGTACGGTACGGCTCGCTTTAAATGGTACCACCTCTGTCGAGGTTCCAAGCGTACCGTACCGATACTAAAATGTGACGTGAAAACACTGCAGATCACTGATTGGTCAGACAGAATCGTCACTACCAGCGCCATTGTATTTGCGAGACATCAAACCCGCTAGATTTAAATAGCCAGTAACAGCCACCGCTGTAGCACCTGTTTTAAAACTACTCGCTTGACTTGCTTGAAGAAAAAAGAAAGAAAAAAACGTCCAAAAAAGAAATGGCTGAATCGTGGTCAGTGGACGAAGTGCAGGCGTTCCTCTCGTTGGTTGCAGAGGAGCGGATAAACTATAACGGTCAGACTATAATCCCACACACTTTGAAGCGGTACTGACTGAAGTGGAAAAGCAAACCGAGCTAAAGCGTGCCAAAACCGAGTCGTACCACGCAGTGGAAAAGCGCCACAAGTAAGAGCAAAAGTAACTACTTGCAGACTTGCCTTGGCAAGTACCACTAATGAATGCATTTACAGCAATGGATTTAGATATACCTGACTTCCAGCATGATTCCACCAGGTCCAGTGGAGTGACCAGGCATGGACAGAACAGTGTCAACTTTATGTTTACGTCCATTGTGTGAAGCTATATGGATTTCATCATCATTGGAGGATGAATGCTTTGCAGAATTGGTTAGGAGTGGGTTCCCAGGGCCTGCCTGAGAGTTATCCGTGTGTTCTCCGGCGCGGACAATCTTCCTCGGTGTGTGCCTTCCTTCAGCAAGAACCGACACCGTTCTCTTCTCTGCACCGGGCATGGCCTGCTCGCCCTGAAGTTGGTCAAGCTGCTCAGAACTTTTGCTGAGAACGTCAGGTTTCGTGATAATGGACACACCAAGTTCCTCCATAGATTTCCCTCTGGGCGCTCTGACTTGTACCCGCCGCTCATCATGGACCGATGCTGTACGACTATGATGGACTAGTGTATCTTCTACTTTTCTTTGAGCACTGAAAAAGAAAGTTTCACTAAAATTAGGAACCGAAATGTCTCAATAGCCACGTTTCCATTGCAATTCAAAACCTTCGAGATATTTTCTAAATGTTGATAAAAACTATTGCGAAATTACGGCGTTTCCATTAACAGATGTTATGCGCCTAAAACGGAATTTTTTCCTTATCGAGAATTTCGATAAGTCATTCCAAAAATCATGGCAACGGATGTTTATGTATATCCCAGCCAATTATTTTGAATCGAAGGAGACTTAGGAGTAGGGTTGGGTATCGTTTGGGTTTTATCCGATTCCAGTACCTACTCGGTATTTTTTAAACGGTTCCGGTGCTTAAACGGTTCTTAAATCGGTACTTAAGAAAATGAAACCGCACACACTTTATCAAAAAATAATACCCTTTAATTTACAGGGCCAAACTGGACACAATATTAACTTAAATCTTTAAACAATATAAATACAAGTAACATATGGTAATAATAAAACCAATATAAAATAAAAATTCATATTTACATAATATCAAATGAAACAATATTGTATCAAACAATGTAATAATACTGGAGATTAATAGAGATTACTAGCAGGCAGAGCTGCCAACTCTCACGCATTGACCGTGAGACTCACGCAAATGACCCTTTTCACACAGAAAAATCGCGGACAAAGAGGACACTGACAGACAAGACAGAGAAGGTTACTTTTGATATGGAACAAATCCACAGCTGTCAGATTCTGTCAATATTTTTACGAGATTCACACAATAAATAACGTTTTGGCTCTTTGAAATGTGACAGATCGCTGTAGCGCGTCAGTTCAAACGGCACGTGATACAGCAGCCTACAAATACAAATCCACTGCTTCTTAGCTACGCAGCGTTGAGTGAACCTATGAAAGAGAACATCTCTGGTTGGTGTAACATATCTCTCAATAGGGAACGGGATGCAGCCAAGCTCCTCGCGCTGCCGACCAGCTTCCTTTTTCGGCAGAGAAATCTGAGGAGCAGATGGCGCGCGCGCGACAGCATAGTATGACGACGTAAGTGCGTCGATGCGGCGCCATCAGCCAATGAATTGGCTTGATTCTATATGGGATTCAGACTATCGGCACACCCAGAGGGCGTTCTGACACGTAATTTTACACGTGAAATGCAGCCAAACCTTGCGAGAAAGAGCGCGCATGCGAGACAGAAGAAACTGTGCTCCAAACTGTGTAGCACACGCACGGCGGAGAGAGAGAGAGCGAGAGACCTTGTGTGTGTGTGTGTGCGCGTGTGTGCCTAATGAAGTTAGGCACCGAAATCAGGCACCGAAATTTTCTTTCTTATTCGGTCTGGTTACTACCGTTTACGTTCGGAACCGGTTCCCTATTGGCACCGAGTTTCGGTACCCAACCCTACTTAGGAGTGTTACCCAAGCATTAATGGCAAGGAAAGGCCCTTGTACTTGGGAATGGCACATTTGAGGTATTTCTCCGTCCTATCTGCTTCAATGTCTTGATAAATAGTGGGATTTCTTTGTTGTTTAAAGTCCAGTATTTGGATACTTTGGTCTTTTATGAGTTTGATGAAGAACTCTGTCTCGTCTTCTGTCCAAACATACCCCGTCATCTTTAAAGAATGATCGACTTTTACGTACGTCATGTGACCTGTAAATGCGGATAAAACTGTTTCCATTGCAGTTTTGCAAAATATTCCTTTTCGAATTGCCTGAGATACCACATGCGAGTGTAAAAACGTTGTTGTTTTTTTGTTATACATGGGAGTTTTTACGAAAATTCACAAGTTTCCATTGTGTGTATTTTCAATGTGCAACATTAATTTGCGCGATTTGAAGGGTAATGGAAACGCGGCTATTGTTTACATTTGTGGTCAAACTCAATCCTGTTCAAACTGTGGTTACAATGAATACAGGATAGACGTTCTAATCTCTGTTATCCTACTTGGCAACACGAGTAATAACAGGTCACCTTGAAATAGCCATGTTATGAATGGCTGACAACTCATCCAGATGTTTCCGAACCTATGAAAGAAAAATAATTGATACAAATACAACAAAGTGTTAGTGGTGCATTCTAAAAACTTAACTGGAATTAAAGTAAAACTAGAATTTTGATGAACAGTTTTATTAAGATACCTGGAAAGCATGGGGGGTGGAGGTGCTGCGAGTCCGTGGGAACTTGGGTTGTTCAGGCGGGTCCAGGAGACTCTCCACGGAGGCTGAATAGCCTGCTTTCGAGTACTCTTCTCTCCAGCTGGACTGCCTTGAGTGACAGCTGGGCTGAGCAGTGGTGAACTGGGTGTATTTACCAGAACTTGACACAGAGTCAAGAATTTGGCCTGCAGAGAGAGGCCTGTGGAGGTTCTTCGTGGAACCAGAATTATGTCTGGAGCTCCACTCCGAAGTTGAATTTCTGTGTATGGGAACTTGTGGAACTGGATGCTGGGGCTCCGCTACCTTTTGACCAGTTTTACGTTCCATGTACGCAACCAAGGCTTTCTGCTGAAGGTGCTTCAGAGTTGATTTTGAGAAGTTGGAGGCGGACATTGCACGGCCCCGTGTTTCAAACATCTTCCGCCTGGCAGCCACTAGACCGTGATCGCTCTCTGAAAGAAGACCTTCAGCTTCGTTGTCAAGAGAGAGGCATGTCATATGAGCCGGTCCATCTGCCAGCTGGTGCAGCTTCTCCGGCTCAGAGTGAGACAGTTTTTTCTGATCTGCCGTCAAACGCTTTCTACACCCTACCCGAGGCACCTGTGGTTGAGCAATATTCTGCGGCTTCTCGGTTTCCTTTGCAATTATCTTGTCGATCTCCTGACCAAGCTCTTTCATGTACTCCTGATCTGCTTCTTGAGGACTGGGACTGTCCAAGTTGGGCCGTTCGTCTAGTGATGGAGAACCAGCAGGTACAACAGAAAGATTCTTGTCTGTCTGTAGCTTGATCCTGTGTGGCCGAGAAAGTTGCAAATCTCTCCTTTTAAAAGAAGTCTCCCTCAAAACCTTGGATTGGGCATCTTTCAGTTTCTCCTTGTAATACTTTTTGTAGGAGTCATCTAACGTACCACAAGGGTAGAAGAATTCATTTGGTTGATCTTTAGGGACTTCACTCTGCCGATATTCGCCGCTGGGAGCGGCTTGCCCATCATTTTCAGCTTTCTGTTTATCTTTTACAGAGTCTTGATTCTTGATCACCTTACCACAATCATTATTGTTTTTGAACTTGTCTGTATATGATGCCCTGTTCGCTCCTGTGAGGTGATACAAAAGTGGGGTAGTCTCCTTGCTGATCTTGTCACTTGGAATATTAAGTTGGGGCCATCTTGAATCTCTGGTCATCTCTTCTTCTTTCTTGGGATGACTGGTAGGGTCTTCCTTAATTAGAGCAGGGGTGATTACTGTACTAACTGACTTGTCCTCGGGACCACAGTAGAAGATAGGGTGGCTAGTGGAGTGATGCATGCCAGTTTCTCTACTCATGACCCTCTGGTCCTCTACACCTTCACAAGTCTCCTCGGACTTAATAGCCTTGTTATTAGGATGCTCGACAACTTCATTCTGAATGCTGAATTTGTGTTCCTCTTGAAAGAACAGCTTCCCACTCGGACCATCTGGGCAGCTCTGCCTTCTACGCTGAGCTTTATATGACCACTCACTAGAGGTGTCCACGCTTGCACTGTCTTCAACAACACCTTGCATGACACTGGGCTCAGAGGACTTGAAGACACCAGTTACAAAATAAAATTGTCCTTTGTGCTGAATACTCCCACTGATCATGTTCTGTGGCATACGGCAGGAGCTGACGAAACACTGATTCCCAGAAACGGGTCCACCGTAAGCTGAATGCGACCTTTTTCGTTGATTTTCTGAATGGCCACTCAAGTAATCTGGTTGACATGTTTGCAGGGGTGATCTATTTGTAATCCCTCTAGGCTTTGGTGGATCAAGGATCTTGTCCACTGGTTCTTGCTTGAGGTGATCTTTAAGCTGTGAAAATGCACGACCATGGACAGGTTCAGTCCGGACACCAGAGACCTCTGGGTTAACGGTCTGCTGTAAAGTAGAAACATCAGCAAGCTGTCCTTCTGGACTCTGACGTGCCCTTGAGTTTTCAAGATTCCTGGTTGTTACGAAACTGTTCAGACGGGTAGGAGGTGGTGGGGGTGGTAAGGGATGCTTATGAACTGACGGATTTCCAATGCTAGAAAAGTCAACGCTGCTCCTGCGATGCTGTTGTGCAACAGTGTCCATCGAACGGTAAATGTGGTCCATGCTCTTGGAATCTGAATCAAGACAGGTTGGGCTATATTTAGCTCTCACGCATTTCAGATCGGTGTAGTGCAAGCTTTGCGACTGGATTTCATCCAGGAGAAAAGGAGAAGGGTAATCGGGGACCGTGGAGCCACCAGAGAATGAGCTATAGGCTGAGTCCCCTTTGCCGTGGTGGTGGGTATACTGATCAATACTGCTACTGGACTTGGCCGGGGAGAGTCGACTGACCGGGAGACTCAGAGGGTGTAGGTCAAGGTTGCTCATCCTCTCGAAGTGGAAATTATAGGAATCCATGTGGGCTATGAAGTGGAATTATGGACCGAGGGGAAATATTTCCTCACTATAGTTACAAAACAGAAGCCACAGGAGTCTGGCATTACCTGTGAGAACGAAAAGAAAGAGTTAAACTGGCATTTAGGACACAGTACCTCTACATACTATTATGGCTCTGATTTTGAACTTTTATATCACTGCTAAAAATAATGTATGCAGAGTATAAATGCACCAAATAAATAGTTTCCGTCTGAGTTTTGCATTGACTAAACTATTAGTTTTATATGGATTGGTGGTTTAATGATTAAGTAAATTGCTTTTCAAATGACCTAAGCACAGTATGCTCTACTGTACCTTCAATTATATGAATTATATGAGGATAATTTGTCATCCAATATCAGCGTCTGATTACAAGTCTGAAAGCTGATTTAGATTTGATTGATTTACTTATTTTACATTAAAAAAATTATGCATACATCTAATAAGGTTAGAAACAATTGCCCTTTCAAAGGTATAAATGCCCCTGGGAAATTAATTTTCAAATTATTAAAAATTCAAGGTTGCGAATGTAAAGAAAGAGTTCATTCCTGTCACCACTGAAGAACATTTACGAAGAAGGGATTTATGAATATGAATGAATGTTGTAAGTCACCAAACCAACATTTTTAGCAAGCAAGCAAGCAACTTTATATATATAGCCAGCGCTTGACATTAACTTTTTTGCTCACTAGCCAATGTGGCTAGTGGTTTTCCAAAATGACTAGCCACGCAGCATTTTTACTAGCCACAGTTTTGTTGTTGTACGTTTTATATGATTAAAATTGACAATGGGGCTGAAAACGTGCTAAAATGAACTAATATTATCATTAGCTCTGATAAGGTTGTTAAGCTCCTTTTTTGATAACATGTTGTCTAAGATACACACATAAAATAGCTTCTTATTGTATATAATAAAAGTGCTGCATTGTTTGTTTGTTTTTTGTTTTACAGCAGTAAATACTGCAATACAGAGTAGAACAATTATCTGCATTAGAAACAACGAGCAAAGAATAAATAATAATTTTAAAGAAAAAATCCACAATTAAGGCACCAGGATTACAACTTTATATAGGCTATATAGGACTATATAGGACTTTGGATTGTTTGTTTTGCATCAGCTTTTCCTCAGAGCTCTGACTTAATAATTATCATCATGAAGCTCTGAGTAACTGGAGATATGTCCACCTGAAACAAGTATAGGCCTACAGGTCTTTATTTTCCAGATTATTCCCACAAGCGCATCTCCTGCTTTCTTTCATGGCATGATTAATTTTATTAAAACATAGAATTAACTCTGGAAAGATAGTTGTGATATGACGTGACATAAGGGCAGCCCTGCTAGTAGTTAGGCCTACACCGTGGCCCTTAATCATGAAGATGATTTTTGCTTTAATACCGGCCATGCACACTCACGAACTGACTGAACGCTGTGTTGATGTGTGTGTGTATGCGACCAGTCGCGTGTGATGATCGTTCGTTTGGCGCGCGCACCCTCGCGCAGCGGCACTGCAGGAGAGCGTGAGACACGCCGGTGGTCTGGATTCTCCTGCTATTAAAAAAAGATCGCTATATCATCACATTAAGTTGATAATTAAGGGCAGACTAAAACAGCCCAGTTCGTCGCACAGTCCGCGAGTTTAATCTCCGCGTGTCTTCTTGTTTGCAGTGTTGTCGTTCAAGAGGATTCACGAATGGACCAATGAGCAAACACTAAACTATGTGCAGGTGGTACTCATGGGAGTGGTAGTGGCATAGTGTCAAATTGCAATTCGTTTGTTATGTCAGATGTCCTTTGACAAGACTACAAATCTTCAACACGCCAAAGTGGCTAGTGAGAGTGACTGTGTTACCCGCCACGGGTGAAATGCACCCGCATTTGGCGGGTTGGCGGGTGTTAATGTCAAGCCCTGTATATAGCACATTTTCAAACAACAGACGTTGCCTCAAAGTGCTTTACAAAAATGATTACATTAAAAGCATACAACAAAACAAACATAACTTATTCAAAAGCTTAAGAAAATCATTTTTAAATAAGACTTAAAAGTGGCAATTGATGGAGCTGACCTCACGTGGAATGGGAGACTATTCTAGAGACTATTTTAAATCATAATTTAATTATTAAAATTAATTAAAAAAATGTTTTTTTTAAATGTAACAACAAAATGTATTTGTTGTTTGTTAGTCAATATAACTCTGAAATGATTTCAGTTTGTGTATCAATACTTTTTGGACATTTCCAGCACAGTTTAACAATGCTGTGATAATACAGATAGGCCTAACCGTGATCACCATAATCAAGAAATGAAATATTCAAACCGTTTCATCTCTATTATGGATGCTTGTCCATTACAGCAAGAATGTGTTTGATCGCCGTTCGAGTGCAGTGCTTGGTACAGTGCAGTACTCACTCTAAAAGTCAGAGATAACTACTATTAAATCTGATTTCAGCCTTCATGCGCAACATTCTTGTAATGCCAAGTTATTTCCTTGAGCCCGATTTACCAGCTCACTGTCAGGATGAAGGTCTTTAAAGAAAGCTTGAAGGCTTGTAAGGAGGAAAATGCGGGGGTTTTTTTTGCTAATGAGGAAACCGATGAAGCTGGTTGGTATGCTAAGTATGTAACAAAATATATATATATTTAACTGCATATTTTTTGAGAGTCAAGTCCCATGGAAGTAGTGTTGTAGCAGAACATTTTACAAAGGTCTTGTTCTCATTTTATTTCTAGACCGGTCAAGAGCAGACTGCAGGTCTGTGTATATGCAGATACACTACATATTGCAGTATATCACTAAATTGTCAGTGCATTGTCCGATTTATTTGTTGTTAACATCCTTAATGTGATTGGGTGTAAAACTGCCTGCTTTGAATGCAACCAAATGCTTATTTCTAACTTGATTACAGACCCGACACAACAGTAAAAAAAAAGAAATAAAATTAGAAACAAGTTGTAGAAGCTTGCTTACGCCACAGAATAAAAAATTAAAAAGTTAATTGCGACTTTTTTTCTTACCATTGCGAGTTTACATCTCGTAGAAATTCTTAGTAAAAATACTACATGCATTGAATAAAGTAATCAATGTAAAATAAGATTACACTTACAAACTGCATAAATTACAAATTAGATATAGCCTACAGGTGAAACTCGAAAAATCAGAATATCGTGCAACAGTTCATGTATTTCAGTAATTCAAATTAAAAGGTGAAACTAATAATATATTTAGTATACATATTTATATACATATGCATGATTATAACTTTTCAGAGGGCCGACATTTCTGTATTTAAAATCCTTTTTTTATTGATTTGATTTCATGTAATATTCAAATTTTCTGAGATTTTGAATTTTGGGTTTTCATAAGCTGTAAGACATAATCATCAAAATTATAACTTTTGCACGATATTCTAATTTTTCGAGTTTCACCAATATTTCTAACTTGATTACAGACCCGACACAACAGTAAAAAAAAAAAAGAAATCAAATTAGAAACAAGTTGTGGAAGCTTGCTTACGCCACAGAATAAAAAATAAAAAATTAATTGCGATTTTTTTTTTATCTCACAATTCTGACTTTTTTTCTTACCATTGCGAGTTTACATCTCGTAGAAATTCTGAATTTAAATTCAGACTTCAACTCAGAATCGCGTGATATAAAGCAATTGCGAGTTTTAAAGTCCAATTCTAAGGAAAAAAAGACTTTTTTTCTCAGAATTGCGAGTTTATATCTCACAATTCTGACTTTATAACACGCAATTGCAACTTTATTTCACGCAATTCTGACTTTATATGATCTCGAATTTACTTCTCGCAATTCTGAGAAATAAAGTCAGAATTGTGAGAAGTAAATTCGCAATTGTGAGATAAAAAGTATCAATTGTCACCGAAATTAAGACAAATGCCCACAAAATTCAAGAAAATTGTTTTTATAACATATGATATAATTAAGCAATATCACATGAGCAAGAGAGCAATTTTTAAAACATTAATCTGAACATTATTTATGCAGTTGTTATTGAACTTACAGCTCTATATAGTGTCTGATTATTATAATCTGGTGGTATTGATTAAATACAGACATTTCTCAGGCAGTAAAAGTGCTCTGGTCTTGTTGTCAAAGTCTCGGTCTGGTCTTGGTCTCTGGTTTTGACAACACTAGTGCTTAGATATTTAAAAGCATGTTTTCCCCCCCTAAAGAAGAGAGTGATGTAAAATAATGAGCAGCAGAATAGCGATCAGCGATGACAAGCTTAATAAGAGTCCTGAAGAAGGACAGACTGATGAAAATGTCAGGAATGCAATTTTAACCGGCGTAACATTTCGGCAGTGATCATGTGAGGACTCTTACGATGGATTATGTGCTTTTCAGACATTCAATGAATGCCAAGTTTATAAAAGATCCTATCTTAAAATGATATATGTCGGTTTTCTGTTCATAAACTGTAGGGTTACATTTACACTGCCGTTCAAAAGCTTGGGATTGGGAAGATTTTTTATGTTTTTAAAAGAAGTCTCTTCTGCTCACCAACGCTGCATTTATTTGATAAAAAAACAGTAATATTGTGAAATATTATTACAATTTGAAATCACTGTTTTCTGTTTGAATATATTGTAAAATGTAATTTATTTCTGTGATCAAAGCTATATTTTCAGCATCATTACTCCAGTCTTCAGTGTCACATGATCCTTCAGAAATCACTCTAATATGATGATTTGATGCTCAAGAAACATTCATTATTATTTTCAATGTAAAAAAAACCCAGTTGTGTACAATTTTTTTTTTCAGGATTCTTTGATGAATGGAAAGTTCAAAAGAACAGCATTTATCTGAAATAGAAAGCTTGTGTCACATTAAACACTAGCGTTCAAAAGTTTGGGGTCAGTAAGACTTTTAATTACATTTTATTTGGCAGGGAAATAAAATAAATCAATACTTTTATTCAGCAAGGATGTATTAAATTGGTCAAAAGTGACAGTAAAGACATTTATAAAGTTACAAAAGATTCTATTTCAAATAAATGAGAACTTTATTTTCATCAAAGAATCCTGAAAAAGATGCACAACTGTTTTCAACATT